CCTCTGAAAAGAGTTGTGAATGCAATAATATCACGTTGTTTAGTCTTAAAGGATGAGAACAAATTATTTGGTACTCCAAATATGGAAATTACTTAAACAATTAAAATTTTAAATACTTGCTGAAAACATTTTAAATTGTTTAGTCAATACATTTTAAATATTCATACATTTCAGCACAAGTTATTAAAGCCTAAAGTGAGACCACCAAAGGTATTCAGTTTACAAAGAATTATTTTTTAAGTATTTATTAAAACTGTAATTTGTTTTTAGGGAGTGTATCGTCTGGACTGGGGACGAGCCCTGGTATGAGACGACACACTTCAAAAAGTAGCCGTAAGTATTAATATTATAATGAGAAATTAGTCGGATTAGTATTGGTCATTTGTAAGATATATGAGCTTAATTTTTCAGTGCACTATATGTTGTTCTCTGTCTTGTGTTTTTAGCTTTCTGCCCTCCCTCCTCCAGCAAGTTGACACAGTCCATCGTTAAAGACCACATGGTGTCTCATTACAAAAAGGTTTACTCAGCTAAAGGTGAGCTGGCAGGAATACATTACACTGACATTCAGTAGACCAAAGTAGTTCAGCTACTAGCATACACAATATGCTTATATGTTGAAGTCTGTTGTAATTAGATTAATAATGTAATGTGATCTTACATCTGTGCCTTGTTCTACAGCTGCCATTGATGCCTCAGTACCCAAAAGCTTGATACATAGTGTAAAGTGTAAGTACCCAACTGTTAAAATGAAGATCTATCCTCATATTTTATTGTCAATATGACAATAAGCAATAATAACAGGCATGCAGTTCACCCGCATCTTTGCTCTCTTCTTATGACTATACTATCACAATTGCTTGCTCTTGACCCTCACTATTAAGTGCAGTGTGAGTCTTTTCCTGTTCTCTTGGGGTTACCCAAAGTGAATCACACAGCAGGTTGATGTGGAGATGTGCGTTCAACATAAATTGTGTAAATGACACAATTAAATGTATTGAGAAGTGTATATAATTGTGTTAGATTATCCAATGGTGGCCTTTTTCTTAAAACCATGTTTCCTTGTGTGTGTGAAACTGCTTTACTGGCTGTGACAGTTACAGATTTCAAAGTAGACTATTGCCTGTGTCTATACTTGTTTTCTATTGCCTGTTTACAGACAATGACCAGATCAGACAGGAGCAGTTGAGGAAAGGTGTTCGTCCTCAGTCAGCCCACTCTCTGTCACAGAGAAACAGCAGAGCCTCCTGCTCCTCAGCCCAGGTAAGGAATCAAGGCAGTTTCTCATTGCTTTGTGTGCTGCCAATGTATCTTTTGCAGTAGCCATGGCATTGTCTGGCATAAAAACCTTGAGGTCACAAGCATTCAAAGACTTTAAATGCATCATTTGTCATTCAAACCTTTTCAGCATGTACAATGTCTGATTCAATACAACGTGTTTGCTTTTTAGAGTAGATTATCCATGCAGTATGGCGACAGCCCCTACCACTGCTCAAGAAGTTCCACTGTCTCCAGCCCAGGGTTCAGCTCCTCCTTTCACGTAAAGGAGATAGTTTATCCGTCATGTAAAGTCGGTTCACAGGACCAGCTTTATCACACTTGCCCTGCATCAGAAATAAATTACCGGTACCCAGAGGCAACTTCACGCAGAAAGCAGTCAGCATTTTCACAGGCAGCTTCTGGAGATCAAAGTTGCTATAAGACTTTTCAGGACCCTGTACAGAAGACGTACAGTGGAGACTTGATCCAGAAACATTCACAGCACTTTACCCAAGACAAACCTTTCACCCCTAAGACCCTGAAATCAGATAAGAGTTCATACCTGTCAAATTATCGCTACTACCGAGCACCACGGAGGAAAACTACTCAGGATTGCACTCAGTCACGATTGATGCGACAGGAGACATATCATGGAAGGTACTTACCAAACATTTGAGTGAGACTCAAAGGAAAGCAGTAGATTTGTGTCTTTAAAACATGTGCAATATATAAAATAATATGTTAAAAAATAACTTGATTCTATCGTTTTTATGCAGCACAAAAACCAAAGGATACACACAGGAATTGTATGAGCCATCTCAGGTAATTTTGAGGATTTAAGGATTATTTTTACATATTTTCTAATGCGTCTAATACTACTTTCCCTTTTTGACAAGATCATGACAAATGTCCATCACATTATCAAAGTGATGTCTTAAAGTAGCCTAATTATTATGATTAGAAGCCACATGTATTTGTAATGTAACCATTTTGTAGCAATTAGAGTTTATTGTTTCTGAAGGCGTAACCCGCAAATGTTGTTATTACATAAGACCACTGCGTTTAGAATAACTAACTGAGCCGGATGACATTTTGTCGTACGGAATCAAAATAAACGCTATGACAAATAGCGCTGTATAATTATTAGTTGCTCAAGGTCAGTAATCGTTGTGTGTTTTATTGTCCCTGTAAAAAAAAAATAGTGTTTACAGCCTCATTAAACATTTGGTTATGAGTTAGCCTTGACTATGTTGAATATTCCTTCTCATTTTACAGTCCTTTTTGTGTCACAGGGATTTAATACAGAGCATGAGTGGTCTGAGGATGAGTTTAATGGCACATATTTCTCTGCGTCAAGACAACACAGTCGAGCAAACAAGAGCAGAAACCGTGACTTCTTTGACTCCTCATCCAGGTGAAATCATGAAATGGAAACACTGTTGCATTTTTTTCAGCAAATAAGTTTACCCTATGTATTTTCTGTGTAAAGTTCTAAATTAATTGTCTAATTTTTAGGGTCTCACCAGAAGGCAGGAAAACTCCCTTTATGAAGAATGTATCTGCAGAGTGAGTTCTCTTTGATAATGTTTAAAGCTTGTACATATTTTAATTGATATAGTGGGGAATTATTGCCATATGTAAGGATTTGACAGTGTGATGCTTTAGGGAATCGTCAGAAGCATCTAAAATGTATGTGAAGAGAATAATGTCCATCTTTTCTTCCAAAGGGAGGAAGAATTAATGTACCTCGAATTCATTTCTGCTGTAACAGAGGATATCTTGTCCAGGGGGCATATCTCTGAAAGGTTTGTTTTTTCTTCTTTGACTGTTTTCTATGAACTACTTGCGATGAGTTATTGCTGTAGTGTAATTGTCCATGTCCTCTATAAGGGTCCTGGACCGGGTGATAAAGCGCCATATTGAAATGAATCGGCATCAGCTTGATGAGGTGAGTCCATAACTTTATGCAGAATACCAAATATGTTAAGCAGGTCTTGTTTAAGTGTTCAGCTTACAGCTTTAAATAAACTTCCTCTCGTGCATCTGATTTGTTTTTAGGGCAAAATGCGCCACCTTCTGGAAGTGCTGCGTAAAGATTTTGAAGAGCCGAGCAACATATCCACCTGCAGCACAGAGCTTGAAAAAAAGGAAAATGGTCTGCTTGATGCGTTCCTACCACATCTGGATTCAGGAGGGAAACAAGTGAAGACCAAAGAAAGCAATGACCAGTTCCCTTATGCATCTCTAATTAAATACTGCGACTTGCCAGATTATGCTGATCCCCTATTAGTGTCTACACCCATATGCTCTCCTGAAAGGACTGCTTCACCAACTAAAACAAATGAAATGGAGGGAGAAGATGACAATCTAGAAAAGAGTATTAGCTCTCCTCGGCTCAGTGAGCATATTTCCAATAATAATGCAGGAATCAGTGAAGAGGACTTCCATCAAAATGAAATAGGCACAAGTGTGACAAATGTAGTCGGCAATGAAAACCATGAACATACTACTATAACCAGTGACACAGGGTTTCATCAAGACCAAGCTGAGGGCAGTTACGATGGACAGTCTAAAGATCTTGAGGATCTGGGGAAAAGTTTGTCAGAGTCCCTTCATGTGTCCAGCAATACACACAGCGACAATGTGGACACCACTGAGCAACAAACAAATACTGTTGCTAATGTCAGTGATGATGAGTTCTGACTTTTACTGTATTCAGGGATTAAGTTTCCTTTAATGTGTTTTTCTTACCAAGAGTGTTTTTCCAGAGAGAAATTTAATATGAGTTTTCTAAAAGTATAGTTTTATAAATGTGATTGAACACTGGTTCAGTGTTTTGAAACCCCCACCAATGTGGTGTTGTAGTTCTATTTTTGCTTTTTATCTTTTTACAAAAGCATAATGAAAATGTTACATACGCAAACAAGGTTTTGCAGACTTGAATATTATAATAATAATAATATAAAATTGGGCACATACCTCAGACATAGTGGTTGAGGTCCAAATGACCTCCAGAATAATAAACTACACTTTCTAAATGATTGCGCCATGGCAAATAGTATGATTTGCAAATTTGCAAATGATAGTCCATAGCACTGCACTAATGTCCGATGTGTGGAATTAGTGTGGTGTCCTTTAGTTTTAGTGGATTGCAGTGTGCCCAGAGTGTGCCCAGTCAGTCTTCAGTATATATGTAGTTGCAGTTTACATTTTCAGATTTCTAGAAAAAACAATTCTGTTATAAAGAAATGTGTTTGACTTGACATATGCCTCTGACATGTAGCTACTAGGAGTTGACTGTCACCAGAAAGTGTCTTTTACAATTGCAATAAATTTTATATTCTGCTTCTTGCATGCATGCATCTGATTATTTAGACTATCTACATAAACTGGCCATTACTCAACCTGCAACCAGCAGCAAAACCAGTGCGGAAAATTATTACCACATGAGCCATTTTTGCAAACAAAGACGGACACTCAATAAATCATTGCAGGATATTGTGAGTTAGCGTTTACAGCTGTCTGCCGATATAAAGGGTAAACAGACAGGTCAGCGGCCGCACTTCCAGCCAGCTGTCCCATTTCTGGCATTTTCACCACTCGGCATTCCAGCTGTCTGATGTCATAGCTCCGAAAACCTCTATGTATTCCTCCGCCACAGACGCACTACAATGCACTTTGAAGCGTCTGCTCAAGAAAGTACGACAAACCATATGTGTCTAGATAAACGTTACTGAAGAGTCGGAGTGTAATTCGATGTAATTCGACGATTTATCGATCGCCGAAGCGCAGTTTATTAGAGCTATAGAGCCGCGGATGTATACCGCATACGCTTGTTGCTCTTCCAATCCCAGGAAGCGAAACACGCTTGGAACTTGAGTGAACTGTCGGACCAAGAGGCATGGGCTCCAATGTTAGTTTAGATCCATAAACAAACTACAGACACATCAACTCTGTCTAATTCCGATAACAATCTACAAAGTGGTAATCCGTTGACCTTAATGGCGGAATCCCTCCGGACCTAATCCTCGTTGGATCACTAAAGTGCATCTTGTTGCTAACGGTAACGTTAACGTTTTTTTGTTTTGCCCAAAATATTTACCGGCGACGTCAGCTTCCCCCCAGGGTGTCGTCTATTTGCTGGAACATAAGTTAGCACGCTAGCGGTAAAGCTAATTTAACGTTAGTTGTAGTTAGGCAACGCGTTTAAAGTTAAAGAGGTATGGAAACTACCAATGAAAAGTGGCTAGTTAGTCCGGGAAATGACCAACAGTTGGGATAGACGTATTTAAACTAAGTAGTTGAGTGAGTTAAGTTGTAAATAATGTAGATAATGTGAAGTAAAATGGATGCATGGTTGACGTAGGGGTAGTTTGCTGCGTACTGAATCGGGTCGCTGTGGTCAGTGTTTGGATCAGGCTATTCACCGGAAAGGGATTAATCTAACCACAAGCTGGGGGGAAAAACTGGCCAGCAAACCTTAGAGACAACATTTATTACACAAGTCAGATAACTTTCTACACATTGCCATGTGAAAATAGACTTGCTTCTTTCCCCCCCCCCAGAGTATCAAAATAAAACATTAACTGAATTTAAGGGAAAAAATGGTAGCGCTAAACGAATCCCTTTTGGTAGCCAATCCGAGATAACCAAGTTAAGTAACTTAAAATAAAATGCCGCGTTTAAGAGGATTACTTTCTTTAAATCTTGTGTTTGTCTCGTCTGGCATCTTGTTTCAGGGTGACAGACCAGGTGTGAGGTGCGATATCCTTAAGTACTGTAACATATTCCTCAGTGATTCACCCTGTTTTGCATCCCATTTTCTAAGGCTGCAGTTCTGGCTTTTTGTTGTGTATTGTAGCATGTTGGTGATGATTTTATGATGTTTATTGTCTCTCTCTCTCTTTCAGATCTGTCTGTTGATGATGAACCTCATGACTTGGAACATTCACACAGTTTTCGAGGGGATAGCGAGGAGAATAATTTAAAAGTGAAGAACTCCCTCTTGAAGAAGCGCGAAACATGCCCTTGCCATTTGGCTTTAAACTCAAAAGGACTCGAAGGTATACTGTTTCAAGCAAGAGCTGTCTTGTCAGTCGGATTCAGCTGCTCAATGGAGAGTTTGTTGAGTTTACACTTTCAGTGGAGAGCACTGGGCAGGAATGTTTGGAGGCAGTTGCTCAGAGACTTGAGTTAAGAGAGGTATGTATGTGTTTTCACGCAACACAAGTGCTTATTGTTCTGTCTTATAGACTTTTTTTTTAGAGACTCACCACCTCAGCAAAAAAGTGTTTTTGTCAAGGTTAACAGAAACTGAGATGACTAGTTTGTCATTGTTTACTCATATAATACAGTTTCTCATAACCTGTGTCCTGCTTATGACATGACATAGGAATTTACATACTCTAAATTTATATGTAATTACATGTATGTAATTCTCATCAGACATATTAGCAGACATATTGTGTTTTTTTTAAATTTTCATTCAAACAGAGGTAGCAGCTCTCGCATAGCATGCACAGTATGGTCAAGAAAGGTAGTTATGAGTCAGGACAGAACAATGTATTGAGCATTTGGTCATCATGGTCAGACTGTGACACCACCTGTTAATCATGAACCAAAAGAGTCAGCCTGAATGCTGTCATACCCAGTTGCACCCCAGATCAACAGCAGAGACTCCTGAATGTGCAGGCGATCTGGCAAAGGAACTTGCCCTATGTGACAGTGTCTGTTATATTGCTGCATAATGTGGCAAGGCTTAAATTTCTCGTTGGTCAAGCGACGGGCCTCCACCCTCTTTTTAAAGTTTTTCCTAGTATGCAGTGAGTAATGTTTGTTTTTGATGTCACCAGGGTTGTTGTGCAATCGTGTGGTTCTCTCAGTCTTTGATTGAAAGGTTACGTGAGTTTGTCACTGTATCTGATGTGGGAAAGAACATCATCATCAATATTAACACTAGCACTGATATTTGTTTCCATTACCAGACAATCAAAGTTCACTGTCACACTTGCTTCCACTGCTAATTACGTGATTTGTGCTACTTGGGTAAAACCGTTGGTCCTGTATTTGAAAATCTGTTTTAATTCATACTTTGCAGTCACGTGATTACCATGGTTACCTGGCGGGAAAGAAACATATAAATTTACATATATCCGTCACCTTACACCGCACAAAAAATGAAAGCCTACAAAAGTACGGATAGCTATCTTTTTTTTCAAGCTGTCGTATGGGAGGTGAAAAACAGGAATATCTTCATAATCGAAGCAAACGTGAGTGTTACTAGTTAGCTAGCTAACGTTACCCGCTAATGTTTGCTAATGTTTGTAGCTATACACAAAGTGACATCTGTTCCGTTGTGTGATGAAGTCTTCATCTGAATATGTACACCCTGCCTGCCCGCCAATGACAGCTTGATAAGTAACGTTAGTTTAGAAAAAACCTTGTGCCAACTAGGCTGTATCACATATGGCTAGCAGGATGTCAAACATTGTAGCCTACCTGCTCATCCACTCCACATTGCATCAGACAACAGACAAGAGCAACTGGGGCAGCGAAATGCCTTTAATCCTGTTAGCAATCTGTTAGGTTGTAACGTTAATGTAGTAGTAATAACTGTACGATGGTATGTATGCAAAGTAACTGTAAGTAAGTAAGTAGACGCAGTACAACAGTAGACGTGTGTACTGTAACATGTTTCCCTTATCTATAAATCGTGTGTACTATATATATGTATATCTATCTATCTCATCATATCATATCAAATCATGTATACATATATATATATATATATATATATATATATATATATATATATATATTACGTTTGTATAGTAAAACTGGCGACGTCCTGGCAAGATCCTTGATTAGTTTACTGGGTTTTGTTGCTGGAGAACGATGTTCTTGCCCGCCAGCTCGTAGTTGTGATATCACATGCAAAGTATGAATTCATCTTCAGCCTTATGTTGGTAAAATGTAATGAGGACCACAGTTTGGTTCACATTGGACTGTAGATTCTTAGATTAAAATAGATTAGATGCTAACCTATGTCTTATTCTCGTTATTATTTTTAATTGGATAACATTTACAAAAAGTTTACTCATCGTTGCTAACTGATCTGATCTGATGTGAAATAGTTATGTTGGCCAGTTATTTTCAGGTTGTGGTTTGAGAGTGGCTGCAAATCACAATAGGTCTCTTTCAGCTCAATTGTCCGTCATAAACAGCAAGCCTACAGGCGTTACTTTTCTTACCAGTGTTCATTGTGAGATGTTCAGACAGTCACAAGACTGAACAAGGAGTGCCAACAACCTATAAATCTAGAGAACTTTGCAGTGGTTGAATTTTCAGGTTTCGAATATTATGTAGATGATAAGGAGACGATGTGCAGTTAGATTGGTGAATAAGTTACAGAAGAAATGTGTGATATTGATCCCAAGCAGTCACATAAGATTGTTCTAAAGTCTAAGATGTAATATAAGTTTTTGGTAAGTATGTTCTACGTAGGTTGTCAGTGTTGTTCAGGTGTAAAGTTTGTGTTTGCTTTCTTTGCTTGGTAGATAACATACTTCAGCTTGTGGTACTTCAACAAGCAGAACCAGCAGAGATGGATTGACTTGGAGAAGCCACTTAAAAAGCAGCTGGACAAGTACGGGCTGGAGCCCACCGTTTACTTTGGAGTCGTGTTTTACATACCCAGTGTCACCCAACTGCAACAGGAGATCACAAGGTGATGTTCCATCAGTGACACCACACGATGTCTACACCACCAACCTTATTAGCTTAGAGTCAACTTATTTTCAAGAATAGCAGTCAAAATGTTATAAATCTTAGTTATGAAATGAGTTCCAAAAAAAAATTTAGCGCAACCACATCAGGTATTTTTTTTCGGGGGTGGGGGGGTCTGTAAATAAGCTTTGGCCAGGCTAGGGTCTGGGCAAGAAGTTGAGGAAGCAGTTTAGGTGCACAGTTATACCCCCTGAACCAGATGCCAGTTTTACCTTTCCTCATCCATCTCTTTTAATACTTAAAATCCAAGCAAAGGGGTATTAAGTTTGTTAAAATATCTCACAAGTTATTATAATATCTTTGTATTTGAGAAGTTTACCTTTTGTAATAACTTTTCAGCTGTTTTTGCTGCTGTTTTGGTCTATTCTCCACTCTGAAGTAACTCTCTCTCTCTCTCTCTCCCTACAGATATCAGTATTACCTACAGCTGAAGAAGGATGTTCTGGAGGGCAAGATCTCATGCTCAATAGAACAAGCCATTCGTTTAGCTAGCCTGGCAGTGCAAGGTAATATACATTTATAATGCTAACCGAGTAGCAGAAACTTGAGCTTGACAAGCCTGGTGTTTATTGGCTTAAATCTTTATGTGGTGACTACAGCAGCTTTAAGTCTCAGGCAAAGTAATGACTGGCGCAATTACACAGCAGTTGTCCAAAAATCATGACATTAGGCAACACCTGCTGAAATCGTAAACTCACATCTGCAAAGATTGTTCTGGAAACACCAGAATTATTTTCAATTATTTCTAGACAGACGGTGAATGCCAGTTCATTAAGGTTTTTGCCAAATTCTGCAAGGGGGTTATGGTGTTAGTAAACTGCAGTAAGCCTATTACTGCTCAAACAGTTATCTTTTAAGCTCCGTCGGAGCAGGAGAAAAAATATGTTTGTATCCTTAATGTGGTTTCTTCTCAAAGCACAGCTAGAAAAAAAAATTGGACTTTAGGCGGAATTTTGCAAATTAACCATAACCATCATCAAATCAAGTTTCTGCTGCTCACAGTAGTTTGTCTGAAACCCAGGGGTTTATAAGAACATTTTCACGGTTCTTGTAATATACAGCACTTAACAAGCACCATTAAACCTAAACTGGCCTATTAATTTGGACAGAGGTGCGTGTATGTGTTTGTGTGCGTGAATGTGAACTCCTCTTCCATGAGCTTTAGCCCTGACACGTCCTCCAACTTTTTCCCAGCCAGAAGAATCTCAAACACTGCTGGCAAAGTTATATCAGTCACTGCAACTTACTGGCCTGGGTGTTAGCATAGCAGAGCTGCTGAGATCACTTACTGCTGCAGCCATGTTCAAATGACTGGCCAGCATGCAATATGTGCCTTTTTAAGAAACGCCCTAAGTCACTTCTTGCAAGTTCCCCATAGGATTTAGTCACTGTTTGAGTTGTCATGCAAAATTGGCATTTGTGCTGTAAATAAAGTTGTGCAGTTCCAATTTTGTATGCCTGGCTAGGATATTTTGGAGTGAAGGGCAGTAGTAACTCTTGAGCAGTACTGATGCCTGGGATACCCAACATTTTTGTGAATGTTGCCAGCAGGAGGGGTGAAGCTGGTACCAGTTTTGGACCTCCACGTTGTCAGACACTGAAGCAATTCCCTTTCATTACAAACGGGCCCCTCGTCTCCTAAAATTAGTCATACACTGCAGCTTTTCCCATTCTTGAATCTTGTGCTAAATGGAGAATGAACATGTAATTGGGTTTATTCAGATAGCAGTGTCATGTGGAATTGTTTGTGCTGTATTTACTAATTTAGTCTCTTTTACCCACAGCTGACTTTGGAGACTTCAATCGATATGATTCTGAGGAGTTCCTCCAGAAGTTTGCACTGTTCCCTATTGTAAGAGTTTTCTTTTTTATGGTCAATGTGTGATATTAAAAATGTTGCAGATGTCTTGTGCTCATTTGTGTTTAACGGCAGCACTGTATCAATCCTGACTCTTTGTCTTTTTATCAGGACTGGATCGAGGATGAGCGAGTGCTGGAAGAGGCCACTCAGAAAGTGGCTCTTCTTTATCAGTCCTTCAGGTGAGCAGGTGTTCAAAGCATCACTCCCATCTATCCCCGTTCATTCTAGTTTACTCTGGGATTTCTCTCTGTGACTACTCGACTTACCTCGACTTTATTTGAATACCATATGTTTATGCATTGCTGTGCTCGTTTGTGTTCCTGTCTCGGTATTTTATGTAGGTTCGGTTGGTTTCGACGATTGTTTCTTCATGTTTTTGTCACCTTTTGTCATTTTCAGGGGTTTATCAATCCCAGAGGCAGAGATGTTGTACATGCAGGAGGTGGAGAAAATGGAAGGCTATGGTCAGGAAAGCTATCAAGCCAAGGTAAGTTCACAAGGTCTAGCTGGCTTATCCCCAACAGCCCAAACATTAAAAAAGCATGACACTGGCTTACTAGGATCTGAACTCATAAGCAGCGTATTGTTGCTATTACTGTGCAGCTGCATCAAATAATTACTGGGTTAAAAAAAATGGTCTGGATTTTTTCACTTTAAAGACAGTTTTGAAGGTTGTTCCTCTTTTCATCTAAACAGGACAGTACAGGCACAGATGTTACCTTGGGATCCTGCCTCGATGGCATCTTTGTCAAGTATAAAAATGGCAGGCCGCTTCTTTTATTTAGGTAAGTTAAAAAATACGAAATACTGAATGTTTGTTTGGACGAATACAGAAACACCTAAAAGTCGGGAAATATGGTCTGCTTCTAAATAAAAAACATGAATACTGAATTAGAGCTTTGTCTCGTAACTTGTGACTCTGAGCAGTAATTCTATTGAATCAGATGATTCTGTCAGTATAGATTGAGTTTTGTGGCGCAGCTCACAGCTATTCTTAGTTGAGGTCTTCTGTAATGATCCTTAATGTGCTCTAGACTTGAATGTAGCCCAAGAGGAAATGAGTCAGGTAGACTGTGGTAGCTGATAAGGATTGTTAGGGAAAGCATTATCTGTCAGTCAAGTGAACAAGTGAACATTCTTGGCACGGCTGAACTGTATCTATCTACATACCATTATGAGTACTACATATCTTTTTGATTGACTCCCACACATGTACGGATTTTATTATAAATTGTTATGGTAGTGCCTCTTGTCTGTTTTAAAATTGCTGCAAGGTTTTTGTGACCACCATGACATCATGTGTTGGTTTTTTTTCTCCCCCTTTTCTCTTTGGCTGTGTAGGTGGAATGAAATTAACAACATGAGTCACAACAGGTCCTTCTTTGCCCTGGAGCTAACCAACAGAGAGGAGAGTGTTCAGTTCCAGACTGTAAGTCTCTGCTGCCGTTGCACCTTCTCTTCTCTACCCATCCCCTGGGACATGTCAGTCTCTTATTTGATTTAGAAAAATTGGAAATGCGTCGTGGAGCTTACATCAGTCTTAACAATGCACCTATGTTTGTGTGTGTGGGTGGGGCTGTGACTAGAGCTGTTTGGGTATCTTACGTATGTGTGGGTCTTAAAGTCACATACCACTAGCTGAAACTCAGTGAAGAAGTATTTGAGGGCATACACAGTGATGCTTTGAGATAACTGAGCAAACACCACCTCTGTACTAATTGTTTCACCAACTAATGATTTTGTTTTCTCCTTTTTTTCTTCGCAGGAAGACATGGAAACCTCCAAATATGTGTGCCGGATGTGTCTGGCCAGACTCAAGTTTTATAAGATTAACAAGAGTAGCCTGTAAGTGTTTTTAACACGTCTAGCCTAGTTCCTGTCTCTTTGTTCCTCGTCGTCTCGTGCGAGTGTCTCCTCTTTGGTGTAGCCTCACTTCTACCCTCCTGTCCTCCTCTCTCTTTAGAGAGGAGTGTGACCCCCTGCCTTCTGAGGGCTCCCAGAAGTCCCTTCTCACTCTATCCTTTCCTCGCTTTCCAATGCTCTCTCGTCCTTCTCTGCCTTCTAATAAGGGGTGAGCAACACTGTCAGCCACCGCCTACAGTATGCTTATTAAGCAGGTGCCAACACCCTACCCTTCCTGATTGCCTAGCCCAACAATGCCTCAGCAAACAGCCTATCTATATCTGAAATGGATTAGGTTGTTGAGCATGATGTGATTTCTCCAAGTAGATTTTTATTCATTATTTATTGTGGTGACTTCAAGGTCATTTTAAATGTTATTCAGTGTCTGTTATAGTCTTGTAATTCAGTTTGTATCTTTAATCTTCGTCGAACTGTAATTAGTGCTGGGTATCCAAGATGTGTCCATAAAATTAAGTATTGAAAGTTAGGTAGCAGTGAATGCTTGGTCTTGTGTGCTTTTTCTTTGAGCAAATATTTCCAGATCTAAATAACACCTGTTCTAAGTTTAGACTGTATTTTATTTGAGCCATGTTCTTGTTCTGCCTGCTTTACTATGGAGACGGGTGTTTTGTTAAATGCCAACCAAAATTAAGACAAATTGCAACATTTGTGCATGGTGTACTGGAGAAGAATTGTGCAATTTGTCTTAATTTTGATGCACCTGGTTTGCACCATTTGCTGTGTGTGCGTTCTCAAAGTTAAATGACAAAAGAACAAAATTAGGTATTGGTAAAGGTATTCTTAGTATTATAATATCTTTCTTCTGACTGACATTTATTTATATTCCCAACAGTCAAACCCAGCCTACAGTCGTCAACCCAGTCAGACGGAGATCCTCTACCAGAATATCTCTGGTAAAGTCCAAGCTCACTCATATGCCATTTCTGGCTTGCATTGCAGCACATGATATTAAAATCGTTATGTAGGGGTGTCTGACCACACCGCTATATTTAATTATTTGCACTTGGACAGAGCCGCAACTGAATCCCTCTCTTGTTGATTTACAGCCAAAGCCTCAAGCCTACATGATGCCCCCTCCGCAAATGCACTACAATGGCCATTTCACAGAGCCTTACACATCATCACAAGGTAACTACTGTATAGAGAGCGCAACTAAACAGTGCATGGGATATTTTTAAGTTATTACATGCTAATATGCTATATGCTAATAATGTTTTTTGTTTTGTTGTCTTAAGCTTACATTTTAATGTAGCATTGCTTTGCTCTCTGAACAGACAACCTATACATGAACACTCAGAATGGTTATTACTACCACTCCCAGACCAGCCTGGACTGCTCTCCTCTGGAGTACGGCAGCGGTGGGCGTTTACGTAATGGCAGCGTGTACAGCGCCCACAGCACCAGCTCTCTAACCAATCCCCAGCACTACCTGCAGCCCTCACCCATGTCCTCAAATCCTTCTATCACTAGCGATATCACCAGGCCGGACTATGTCCCCTCGCATCGCCACAGTGCTCTCATCCCACCTTCCTACCGTGCCACTCCTGATTATGAGACAGTGATGCGGCAGAAGACCCGAGGAGCAGGAGGAGGGATGATTTTGTCTCAAGAGCACCGGCAGAGCCACTCCATGAGAAACCTGAATATTGGAAACTCGTATGCCTACAGCAGACCAGACCCTCTTGTTTACAGCCAGCCAGAGATCAGAGGGGAGCATGGGGGAGCAGCCCAACACCCCCACTATCCCTTCCATCTGGGCTCCAGCTTCCACAGCCCCTCTCCATACCCCTACCCTACAGAGAGGAGGCCCGTAGTGGGGGCAGTCAGTGTACCGGAGCTCACTAATGTCCAGTTACAGCAGGCACAGGAGTATCCGGCCCCTAACATCATGAGAACACACGTGTACCGACCACCTCCGCCCTACCCTTACGCCCATCCTCGGCCCGCGAACAGCACACCTGACCTGTCACGTCACCTGTATGTCAGCAGTAGCAACCCAGACTTGATCATCACGAGGCGTGTGCACCACTCAGTCCAGACTTTCCAGGAGGACAGCCTGCCTGTTGCCCACTCGTTACAGGAAGTGTCTGAGCCTCTCTTCAGCGGACCCCAACAGAGACATCCATACCATGCTCAGAAGCGTAACTCCATTGAGATTGCTGGATTGGCACACAGTCTCGAGGGGATGAGGGTCAAAGAGCGGACTGTGTCTTCTTCAGCAGCTGAAACTGCCACGCCGCCTCCTGCCCTGCGCGGCGGTCGCTCTCAGGGCTCTCAGCTCAACGTGTTTTTGGAACGTACAAAGACAGAGGACAGGGTTGACATTAAGGAGGATCTACAGTACGGACACAAAAAGTCCCTTTCAGATGCAACCATGCTGGTTCACAGTAGTGGTGAAGAAGAGGAGTTTGAGGACGATAGCGGACGTCACACTCCTCTTTCTCAGGATGCAGTAGCGGCGATTGTTCCTGACCAGCCGCCACAACAGCATCCCAGCTTGACATCGCTCTCTTCTCTTCCGCCTCAGCAACAGACTCCCATTGAGCCGCCTCCCGCATACCCCATAGGCTCCTCACTCGACCCCTCTATAACCAGCTCCTTGACCTACAAGGTTCACCCCCTGATCCAGGAGGATGAGCCTCTGTACCTGCCGTCAGAGTTACGACAGCCCAGGGTTATGCCGTCGGTCTCTGAGGGAGACCTTAGTGGCCAGGCCAAGCAGAAGACTAAGAAAGACTTCAAGAAGAGGCCTGTCTCTGACACTCCTGGGAGGAAAACAGTGGAAGGTTTGCCCCCTCCGGTGAGTCCTAAGTCTCCTCCTAAGCTTAGAACTCAACCTACTTCAGCTAATATATCCATGTAGTTGTTTACATTATTGGCATAGTGTAATGAACATTTTGAAATAGACAAATGGACATGCTATCTCTGAGAGATATGTTTGTCCTTTTAAGATGCTTTTGCTTTTAAATGTGCATGAAAGAATGACTGATAATGTATTGTAAAAATGCTACAACATTCAGTCAGTTTATATTGTTCTGTGGCTGCACTGTAATACCCAGTTTCAAAAAGCAAAAGAAATGCTCCCATTGTCTTCTAAAATAATGGTAACACGACATGTCTGTGTCTCATCAAGATCTTGTGAGTAGGTATTAGAGGTAGTTTCAGTGGGCAGCTTTGAATGACGCAAACAGTCTCACTTTGACACGTATTAAAAGAATGTAGTCGGACTAGTTGGAAAACCGGACAGGTGACATTCTCCCAGAAGGCACCCAGTGAGGCTGCGCTGTCCCTCCTCTCTTGTATACACACTACCACTCTGTGCGGCTCAGACACAGAAATCTCACTTTTTCTTTGTCTTTACTCCATTCTCATACCAGGGCATGAAGAAAGGACCTAGGTCAGAGGTGAAGAAGATGGGCCCTCTGAAGGTGGCCCATCTCAATGGCCTGTCAGTGTCGAGGCAGCCAATGCACGCCGAGGTCACGGATGAGCCTGCAAGAGCCTCTAATGACGAGAGGGTAGGGCACATAATGGTTTTTGATTTCCTTCCTAAAAAATGGGGTTGTAAAGCCAAAAGAAGTCTAATGTTTAGTTTAAGAAATTGAAACTCGAGATATGTGAGATATGTTTGTTGTGTATTGTCAATAACTTGTCATTCAGGAACCTTTCTATGGCTAGAAAAAAGCTTTTTACAGGAGCTGCTGGTTGTGTTTAGTATTAGGCCGTGTTAGGAAGGATACATGAAGGAGAAAGTTGCAGTTATTGTCAGTGTTCCAACTGTTGACTCTCTTGATTTAGCTGAACAGGGTAGCCTTGTTAATCTTGATGTTTGTTGCTTCGACAGTGAAGTTAAATTCCAGACACTTAGCTGTTTAGCTGATGAAGTTGTATCTCATGGTAAGATGTCATCCATGAGCACTCATACACATGATTGTCAACCAAAGATGGAAGGTTCTTACAGTCCATATTACAAACCTGTAGTCGATTGGATGTTCACGTCTACCCATGGCAGGTTGTTTGCGTGCTTCTTTATTTTTTGTACAAATCCATCTCTTTATATTATCCATCTATTCATCGTGCACAAAATTCCACAACTGCAGATTAGATTTTGTCATAATTTGGGATGGTAATGTATCTAACTTTGGTGTTTTGGCTGTTTCAAAAGTAATAAAGTGTGAGTGCTACATATTTTCAGTTTTCATAGATTTAAACACAGCCAATCAATTTAAACTGATGTCCACCTAGATCTTACGTCCTTGTGGATCCCAAATTTGGTATATCCTACTGTAACACTATTCTGCACCGTTTACAGTGAACTATGTCCTCTTACTGCCAGCACAACTCAGTATTTCTACCGTAATAGAAAGTGAAACTACAGGAATAGAATTTAAAGCACAAATGAGGTGCTGATTGTGCATCAGAGTCCCTCATAATACAATAAATTAATCTGAAAAAATGCAGATTTTCACCTTTTTGTTAAAAATCCAAATACTCTTATTCATTCATGCGTCATACAAAGCATCAATGCCAATTCAAATTTAACCAAAGTTCAAGGAATGATGCTGTACATCTCACCACATCATTTATGTATTTCTAAAATAAAAACCGCAGTCAAATGAGGTAAACTTGTTTATGAATCAGGGCCGTGTTAAACATGCTGGTCAATTTACTGTCTTTGTCTTTGTGCGTTAGTGTAAAGTGCTGGAGCAGCATATGGAGAGAGGAGAGCTGTTAAAAGAGTATGAGAGTATCCCAAAGCGTGATCCATCAGAGGAATGTACCGTCGCCCTGCTGCCGGAGAGTGGGGACAAAAACCGCTTCCAAGACGTCTTGCCTTACGATAGTACCCGAGTGGAGCTGGTTCCCACTAAAGAGAACAACACAGGATATATCAATGCATCGCATATTAAAGTAAGTAATGTTACAGGCTTCTTATTGTTATATTCCCATACAGCGACATAAACTGTGTCTGTGACACACTATAGAGTTCTCTTTGTGATAAACTTGTTCTGTCACATTTCTATCACCATAAACTGTAGTTTTCCTATAGAGTGCATGAAATTACAGTGATATATTGTTTCACAAGTGCCGTTGTAATTTGAGATGTGTTTAGTTTTGGTTTAGTTGTTTGAATGAAAGGGCATGTTAACAGTGTATATCCGGCACCACAGAGTGTGGCAGCTCGACGCAACAGCTTTATTTTCGCCTTAAATCTTACTTTCTCTTTATTCCTTCTTAAATAGCACTGTGTTTATTGTTGTAAATAGACCGACAGTGTTGGCAATTCATTCTTTTATTTTCTTTTAGCCTTAGTTGAACTTAGTTTTATATATAAAAATGTGTAAATTTGTTAATTCTAAATGGTGTAACCCTGGACATGTTGTCACGAAGGCAGAAATCTGCACGCCTGATATTGAACTGCTGGCCATCAGGTGAAGACCATACTATCTGCCCCGTGAGTTTTTGGCCACCATTGTTGTCATTGTTTACATTCCTCCATCGGCAGCAGCGGCGCACCGCTGTGATATCACCCTGCAAATGCGTCATCCCAGAGCATTTGGCGTAATAAACTTTACCCAATATGTGACCTGTAACACCACAGGGGAAAAGACCCTGGATCTGCTGTTTGCCAACGCAAAGGAGGCCCGCCCTCCCCCTCTCGGCAAATCTGACCACTGCCTGATACAGCTAACTCCTACATACAGGCCTGCTGTTAGGAGGAGACACTCCATCACCACCACTGCAGCAGTGGTCGGTGGAAGCAGAGGAGGCCTTGATGGGGTGTTACAGGACAACCGACTGGTAATTGTTCCAGGAAGACCAGATGACATTGAGGGGTCTCACCCAGTGTGTCACAGACTACATCAGGTTCTGTGAGGACAGCGTTGTCCCCACCAAGAGGATTCGGGGATGAGGAGCATTACTGGCATGAAAAGGTCAGTAGGTTCAGTGGAGGGGACAAAGTGCCCACGAGCTAAACCTGTTCTTCAACAGGTTTGACTCACAAACCCCCTCCACCTCCTCTGGTACCTCCATTCACAACTTGGCTACCCCGCCCTCCTCCTCCACAACCCGTCTCCCCCTTGACGACAGTAACACCACCCCCCTCATCTGCCCTCAACCCCCTCCACTCCCTCCCCCCATCCTCTCCCTTTTTCCACCCCACAAACCTCCACCTCCTCCCCCCCCGCCCCCACCTCTCTCAACTACACCCACTCTCCCTCCCCCTTGCACCACTCCCCTCCTCCCCCCTCTACCAATCACCCCACAGCTGGGAACTGTCACCCCCCCAATCACCACCACAACCAACCCGGTCATTACAAGATGTCAGGTGAGACGGCAGCTCACCAGGACCCGGATAAACAAGGCCAGAGGTCCTGACAACGTCAACCTGAGAGTCCTTAAGGTGTGCGCAGAGCAACTGGCAGGAGTGTTCCAACATCTTTTTGACCTCTCCCTCAGGTTGAAGAAGGTGCCAAAGATCTGGAAGACTTTCTGCTTAGTTCTTGTTCCCAAAAAAGGCTGACGTCAGGCCTGTAGCCTTAACGTCACATGTTATGAAGACCTTTGAGAGACTGGATCTACAGCAGCTTAGACCCCTGGTACACGACTGCCTAGACCCACAGCAGTTTGCGTACCAGGCTGACATCGGTGTGGATGATGCCATCATCTACCTGCTTCACAGAGCTTACACCCACCTGGAGAAGCCACAGAGCACCATGAGGATCATGTTCTTTGACTTCTCCAGTGCCTTCGACACCATCCAGTCTCTCCGACTGGCAGAGAAGCTCTCTGTGATGCAGGTGGATCAGCACAGCTGCTTATCAGATGTGGTGACGAGCAGCACTGGCACACCCAAAGGAACTTTACTATCACCGTTCCTGTTCACCCTCTGACTTCTGTTCCAACTCGGGAGCGTGCCACCTACAGAAGTTCTCCGATGACTCCTCCATTCTCAGTTGTATCACAGATGATAGGGAGGAGTACAGAGACCTGATTGAGAACTTCATTGGATGGTAACCACCTACAGCTCAACACAGGGAAAACCAAAGAGCTGGTGGTGGACTTCCGCTGCAGCAAGAGCACCCCCTTCCCAGTTGCGATTAGGGGGGAGAAGGTAGAGATGGTGGACACCTACAAGTTCCTGGGGGTGACACTTAACAATAAACTGGACTGGACAGATCACACTGAGGCCCTCTACAGGAAAGGACAGAGCAGCTGTTCTTTCTGAGGAGGCTCAGGTCCTTCAACATGTGCACTCGGCTACTACGGATGTTCTACCAGTCTGTAGTGGCCAGTGTCATCTTCTTTGCGTGGGCTGTTGCGGTGGAGGCATCGGCACTGGGGGTGCCAACAAGCTGAGCAAGCTGGTGAGGAAGGCCAGCTTGGTGGTGGGGAATGAGCTGGACAGTGCGGAGGCTGTGACTGAGAAGAGGATGAGAGGGAAGCTGAAAGCCATCATGGACAACCCCTCTCATCCTCTCTACACTGCGCTCAGGCAGCTCAGGAGCACTTTCAGCTACAGACTGTCCCAGCCCCGAGCCTCAAAGCGGTTTGGAGGCTTGTTTTTTCCATCAGCCATCAGACTCCACACTCCACAGCACCCAGTACCTCCAACCCCCACAGACAAAGACTGCAACCTACAACGCACAAACTTTTTGCACAATTTATATTTAATTTCCACATGTACAGTTTAGTTTTAGTCAAGCTGCTCATATATTTGCACACCATTCATACTTGAATATTGCATAGTGTATATACTTTCATTTACAGTCTTATATGTCTTATATTTTCTATTATATTTCGTAATATTTTTTTACTACTTTGCCCTATGCGGCTGTGTCAATTTTGAATTTCTCCTAAGGGGGATCAGAAAAGGAACATCTCATCTTATCTTATCTTACACAGGCTGTGTAATACTCCTCATGAAAGGTAAAATGACTCTCAATGCAAAATTGGTGGAGTTCCACTTTAAGCCTTCACATCCTCATTCAGAGTAATTACAATCCTAGGTGTGTTGAGAATGCTGAATGACCAAAAACACTAGCATTGATTCCACCCATCTACACAGTTCATTGTCTTGTCTAACCCTGATAACCAGAGAAATACTTTGGTGGATTACAGCTGCTCATACAGGGGGGTTTTGTTGTTTGTGGGAAGGCAATGACTGCCTCTTAGTCACATTCACTCCTCTGTCTCTGACAGAATAACTCTGCTGTTCTAGCTCTCAGCTTTTAGAAGAATTGCTGATCAGATCCTGTGACTAATGTGTGTGACTATCCTTGTGTCCTGTTTCATTAGATAACAGTAGGTGGACAGGAGTGGAGCTACATAGCCACTCAGGGTCCCCTGTCGAACACGTGTCCGGACTTCTGGCAGATGGTGTGGGAACAGAGTGTCTCCATCATTGCCATGGTCACTGCTGAAGAGGTGAGTTGACTCTATATTTACAGCTCCACATTATTATTTTTATTATAATTACCGGTAAGTCTCCTCACTACCCGGACTGACCTTACTTATGTCACCTGCCTCCTCCAGGAGAGCGGCCGAGAAAAGAGCTTCCGGTATTGGCCCCGACTTGGCTCGAGACACAACACGGTGACGTACGGTCGCTTCAAGATCACGACGCGATTCCGCACAGAGTCCGGCTGCTACGCCACCACAGGGCTGAAGATCAAACACCTCCTGACAGGCCAAGAGAGGACCGTCTGGCACCTGCAGTACACAGACTGGCCTGACCACGGCTGTCCTGAGGACTTCAAAGGCTTCCTCAGTGAGTGGGATCAGCATCAGTTTATCCTCTTACGGTCATCTTGCTTTTACAATCAGATATCTACCTGGAACCTAACGCGAGTGTTTGCATTGATAGCAACATTAATTCCATATGGTGGCATGACACTTCTCTTAGAAGTCTTTTAAAAGAACACTTAAGTTTCCAAAGCTCTGTGTCAAATGTGCTGTATTCATTAGTGAGTGCTCTTGTCTTTTTCCAGCCTACTTGGAGGAGATCCAGTCTGTGAGGAGGCACACAAACAGCATCAGTGACCCAAAGAACACCAACCTACCTGTGCTGGTCCACTGCAGTGCTGGAGTGGGACGGACCGGAGTGGTCATCCTGTCTGAGGTCATGATAGCCTGTTTAGAGCACAATGAGGTAAGTTCCTCATTTTCATGTGGTACAGCTTTCTATGACAAGTTATAACGACATCTGGTGCATATTTTCTAAAGAAAAAAGTCTGTCTGTTTCAGATGCTGGATGTCCCAAAAGTCCTGAAGAAGCTGCGTGCTCAGAGAATGATGATGGTTCAGACTTTGTCGCAGTACACCTTCATCTACAAGGTCCTCATCCAATACCTCCGCAACTCCAGGCTCATATGAGCACAAGTGTCTGTCTCCCCCAGCAAACACAAGTCATCACAGATGATTGTAGGATGGAGTTCACTCCAGGTTTATGCCACACTGCTCTGTGATGGTGCAGTAGCACAAACCTGTTCCATGTAGTGGTCAGTATTTGGTGGTATTAAATCAGGCAAGGCTGAAGGAATGATGTGTCCATATAGAAGAAAGAAGCAATACCACACAAAGGAGTATAAAGACTTACGACCTGCCTCTAAACAGTATTATATATTATTTTCTACATACATTATTGCTTAATAAAGCCCAGCACTTTTACAGTACTTTGCTGTACATAATGAACCAATATTAAGCTGCGTTTAAAAAAAAATCTTTATTATAGATGTGTATCAAAAACAGTTTTATTTTCAATTGACAGAGATCACTTTTTAAATAAATATGTTTTGGATTGCTGTTTGGTAACTATTGGTTCTGATAATTAAGACCTTTTCTGTCGTGATGAAGACAAGGTATCATAAGATTGTCTCATCTGAAGGTTTAATTGCAGATCCCAGAGTTCAGGTGGAATTTAACATGGCACAGACTGGTATGTCCATATAGTTAACTTAATAGGAATATACCAATCTACATTCATCAGAATGATTACAACAAATACCCTGTGATTGGGCCGTGCTACTTGGCACGGACAGTTTCTATGTTTAAAAAGCCGTAAGGACCCGCCAAAAACAAACATACATATCTTCTCAGTGCACAAATATCACTGTCCTTACAAAGGGTTAGTAGATAGTGGGTTGGTCTTTGTAAAACACTGAATTGATGGGAAGTAGAAATGCATCACACAGGTTCCAGTGGAGAAAAAGAGTGACACAGCAGGTTTATTTTGGGTTGAGAGTAAAACTGGAAAATCTATTTTATACTCATATTTTTCATCCTTTTTTTTTTTTTTGTATCATGAGAACTCTTGGTTGCTGTATTTGGGCAAGATCAATATACTTTTAAATATTGTCAGGACAATGTGTCTAAATATCTGCATTGTAAAGTTGAAAGGGGCTGTGTGTATTTTTAAATAATGTGAAGGAAATGTGGAGGTTCTCTCATTCAGTGTCATTTATTTGCTTGTTTGATTGCAGTGATGTGGGTATTAATGCCAATCAATCAATACATTTGAGAAACACCCCTGCATTAAGCACAAGAATTGCAAACGATAATGATCAGAATTATTTAAATTTGCCTTCAACCCCTTAAATTGTGACACTTACTAGTAGCTAGAAATTGGGACGTTAGGCCATTTGACAGTATTGAGATGTAACTAACTAGTGCTGTGCAGCCTGTCGGCTGTGGTGCTCTGTGTTAGTGTGAAGCAGAAAGTGTCAGGGACAGATCATCTCTAGTTACAGTATTCTGCCTGCCACACTTGTTTTCACTCCAATGAGAAATGTCCCTCTGCAGACACTTCCTGCTGTTACAAATGGCCTCCCTCGCTGTTATGAACACGGTACACAAACAAACACAGTATGTGTCCATTTCCTGCTGCAGCTATAGGTGGTATTTAAAGCTCAATTATGAAGTTCACCTGTACAGAAACAATGCTTACAGGCATTACAAAGTTTACATGAAGTGAAGTATCTTTTTAACAATGTTAATTTGAAATATTTTTGCCTTTTATTATCAATTCAAGGCGCCAACTTAAGTTATAATGTGGCCAAAGTGAAGTGATTGTTAATCCCTCATTTGTCTTACCCTCATGTTTTTGTTGTTGGTGATGCATGGGCAGTGATCTTACTTAACAGGAGACAAAATACGTCTTAACGGCTGTTGAGGTGTATTTTACTGGATCTTTTTAAAAGGCCCATATGAATTTGCTTCAGATTTTATGTTTTTTTTTTTTTTGGTTTTAAGATACTGATTGAGTCTTAGTGTGAAGACTGAAAAGAGTGAGTTTTGTGGCCAAGGTGCAACCGTTTTGTCCATGTACAGGTATGTTGTTCATAATGTACACAATGTAAAATTCTGCTTTTATGAATATTGGTTATTGTACAAACTATGTATAAACTGTATCTATTGAACAAGAATGGTATGCCATTGGAAAAAAAAAAAAAAAGTGTAGAAAATCTTTTCAGCCAAGAATAAATATTTGGAAATAAACTGTTTTCTTCTGCATGTCAGTCTGTCACACCACCTTGTGGTAAGAATTAGCTAGTGGCTCTCTGCGTCTCTCTGCTTGCACTTCTCTGTTAATTACATCAACACAAGAGGGGGTTTGTACATTATTGGAAGATCTCTTTATTAAATAAATTCAGAGGTGAAAAAGGGATCACAGTCATGATAGCTGGTACAGAATCTTCAAGAAACTGAGTCGAGAGGATATTTTTCAGTCTGAAATGTAAAGTACAGATTAATAGAGGCAGAGGACGGACACACTTCCCTGTGTTTTAGTCCAGTCTTCTTACAGTGTCCTCAGTTTGTTCTCTGACAGGTAGCAGCAGTTGCAGTCATTACGTCTCTTTAGCCAGGGAGAGATTGCTGGTCTGCAATTCGCCTTAGAAGTTTTGTAGATGTCCTTTTCAGCATCCTTCAATCCACTCTTACACCCCTCCAACAGTTCAGTTACATACATTTTCACAATATTTAGGTTCTTTTTTGCAGTTTTCAGTGTTTAAAAGTCAGATTTCCCTCTGATACCTGAACTATTTTGAAAGCTGTGTCCCTGTTCCATACAACACACTAATTATTCACTAATGGTAAATGGTAATGTGTATAGCGCCTTTCTAGTCTTCCGACCACTCAAAGCGCTTTTACACCACAGCCCATCGAACAGAAGCTAATGCATTCACACACCGATGCACAGCATCGGGAGCAATTCAAGGTTCAGTATCTTGCTCAAGGATACTTCGACATGTGGCATCAGGAGCCGGGGATCGAACCAACAACCTTCCGATTAAGGAACGACCCGCTCTGCCTCTGAGCCACAGCCTAATCTTCATAGTATCCTATTTTTGCACTTATAATTGGAAATCTACACACTTTAAAAAGGTTAAAAAAAATTGCCAGAATTTGAATTTGATTAGTTTTTGGTTCCTGGAGATATTTGACGACCATCCACTATTAGTTTTGATCTTTTCCTGTTGCTCCATAAGTTAAATTAATGATGTAAGTGTCACTTACACAGTGTGAACACACAGTACTTACACCAAACCTCCCTAGGATTAGTATGTAGTATGGATTTGGGACCCAGTTTCAGTGTTATTGCCCAATGCACATGTTAAATAATAATTTGTTTTTGTACAAAAAAAGTACTTGTATGGATGTTACAGTAATACTGGTGTTTTCACTTAAAAAAAAAACACTGATGGGAATATAAAAAAGAAGAATGATACACTCAAAGTAAAAACTAGAAACATCGAAATTAGGAAGATTTTTCACTGCCAACAGTTCATGTGAAACACTACATGTGGATCAGATTTTTAAAATCCTAACCAACGGGACATTAATACTGGTACCGTCCTCTCTTGCCTCCATGTCCACCATAACTTCCATGTCCACCATGTCCTCCTTGGTTCCAACCACCACCTCTCCAACCTCCATCACCACCTCCTCCCCAACCACCTCCTCCTCCTCTTCCTCCACCACGGCCTCCCCAGCCACCACCTCCTCCGCCATCTTGTCTTTTTTGCCAGGGCGGCATCTCAGGAGGTGGCGCTTGTATCTCAGAGGGACGTCCTCCTCTGTCCGGAACCCTACCCATCAGGATCTGTGGATAAAAGAAGAAAAAAAAAAAGACAACGTTGTGTCGGAGGAAAGCATCAGATTTAAGGCATTTACTGGGAAAGGGGAAAAGTTATTCTGTACCTTGTTGACAGCACAAACGGTCTTCTCCCTGCTGGAGCCGCTGCTTGTCTTCACCACGTTGCAGATGTCTTCTCTGGCAGCTAATAGCTCAGCCATGTCCACTGTGGTCTGCGGCCTCAGAGAATGTCTCTTAGGCTGGTAGGCCCTCGCCATGCTGTCGACCTTTACCTTTAACAGACCACAGGCACACAAAGATGTGGTTGTTCTGCTACGTGCGTCACTCAATCAAAAGTTGGCATCAGTAATATTCATGCCAATAAAAACAAAAGCATATGTTACAATTTATTTTACACAGTCCAATTCGATGTTTGGAATAAGGTTTTGTAAATAGAAGCATCAACACCTCTCCCGTAATTTAAATCAGTAATGGAGAAAGAAGTTATATGAACGCACCTTGGCTCTGTCCGACCACCCAAACGACTGAACTGTGACGTCCAGCCGTTTGATCAGCATCCTGCGCCGACACTCGTACTCTGACGACAGAACTGTGTTTATGTTGTGCAACTTCTCCTGCAGAGATTTAAAAATAAAAAACAACCCAAAATGAGTTAAATTCAAATACGCTTTCAGTGATACAAATCACACCCAGCACCTCAGATACAGACGCACTAGTTCAATATGTTTCAGGTCTACGTACCCACTGTTCACTGGATAGAGATTTCTTTAGTACTGGATTTCCGATGGAGCCATTTGGAAGATCTGTAAGTACTTTATCAACCTAAAAGGACACACAATAACACAAAGAATGGATAAATATACATACAGTATACAAGATGTGAGGTATATCTTTGTTTGTTCTTTTACTTTTTTTATTTTTTTGCCATTTAATGCCTGAAACATTGCTAGGATTTTTATTTTATCAATATGACGCCTAACAGGAAGTCAGTGTGGGGGGGGCAACTGTGCTTTTAAATGTTTCTGCTATACTACAATGTTCAACCAGTGTGTTGTGAGCTGTAAACATAAACTAACAAGACTATCAGTGAAGATACCTGGCAGGGTAAGTTTGGTGTCCCTCCCTGATATAAAGGTATCATATAAACTGCATTAAATAGTCCCACCTTGTCTTGGATTTGAGAGAAAACCCCTGCCGCGTCCTGTCCTCGGGGCTCCGGTAGGTTCAGTGTTTCACAGATTGCCAGGAGGTCCTGACACACCGGACTCTCCTCTGTTTGCTTATCAGAGACTCGTCCGCTCCGCACAATCTGAGCCGCCTGGAGCTCGGAGCTTAGAAACACTTTATAAAAGAGACACAAAAAAAAATCTGATTCTCAAAACGATATTTACAGACACAGAGAGCTCGTGGGACAACGATCGGAGCACGAATGACCACATACACACAAACTTGAGATGATCTTTTGCATTTGGCACGCTGCCTTTGAGAATCCCTGAGACGACCTCTTTGTAAGGACAGTGCAGCTCCTTCAGCAAACCACTCATCTCCACCTGAAGGCTGTCAATGTCGTCTAGAAGGGAGGACACACACACACACACACACACACACACACACACACACACACACACACACACACACAGACACACACAGACAGAGAGAGAGAGAGAGAGAGAGCAGTGTAAAAACAGGACACAACTCACAGCTTTGAGCACCAGAATCAGGTGTGAATGGATGGATGGATGGATGGATGGATGGATGGATGGATGGGGCTCACCTGGACCGGAAGTAATGCTCTCCTCCAGACCACACAGAGGCTTCAGCCTGGATGCCAGCCACCTGCACAGGTCCACATACTCAGGAGAGGACAGGCCTCCCTCTGCGGCTCTGAGCAGCGCCTTCTCCTCCAGCACGGGGCCGTCATAGCTAAGGAGCGTTGACAAAGGAGCACAAAACACCCAGATGTGAGGAGAAAATGTAAAGTTTGTACGAGCCACGGCTGCCACTCCGTTGGTTAGAGACGGACTGAGAACACAACGGTGACTGAGACTGCACACGGAGAGCAAGTAGCACACCGTGCTAACAGGGAGTTAGCTTACCCGAGCTGCTCTAACGAGTCCAGAATGTCGCCCTCCATGGCTGAATCCGCGAGTTGTTGTTGTTGTTGTTGTTTATGTGTTATTTACTTAAAACATGACGGCGTTGCGGGTAAAATCTTAGTCAACATGTACGGTTTTTGGACCCATTCATTTTCTGCGGCGCTATCATGCCTCCTCGCTGTTGTGGTTGTGTACGTGAGCCGGAGTGTAACGTCGGACGGGTTAATGGTTCCGCTGCAATGGTTCCGCTTCTGTGCGTATGGAAATGTTCTACGTTCATATTTTGGTCATTAAATGTGTTCACTGTGAAGAATGGTTCTTGTCAGAGGGTAAAATTGATTTAGTTAATTTAGTTAAAGGAGTTTTCAACAATTGTTATAGGACACGGTGTGTGTATCTTCAGATTTGTGGGTTGCATGCTTTCAAATGTGGAGGATTAAACAGTTCTTTAGAGGTTGAGGAAATGCTTTTATTATTATTCTGTCTTTGAGTTCAAACAAGTCAGTTTTCCAGAGTTCCTGAACTGAAAGAGAGTTCACAGTTTGGAGGTTTTTACCAGACGCCATTAGCTGTATTTTATGATCCCAGTTCACGTTGAATGTGAAATATTCATTTGCAAATGAATAAGTATTGATAGCAGGTCAATGTAGAGAAGTCAAAAATACATGATCACCTTGTTAAATGTAGTGGAGTAAAAGCATAAAATCAGAGGAACTAGAAACACATCAAAGAGTGCCTAAAAATGATCTCAGTTAAAATCAAGAAATTCAGTCAATCCAATTAGAGACTTATTTTAAATTCAGTTGTTGTAAACTCTTGTTCTAGTTTCCATTCAAGGTTTATTAACAATCACACAACATATATCGTCTCTGGGTGAGTAACAATAGGAGGATAATGATCAGTGCTGTTGTTGTAGGATGCAAATAGACTTTTTGTTTTGGCTAAGTACTTACTCTGTTATAACTTATGACATATAAATCATCAGCTCCTTAAATATAATCACTAGTGGTGGAATGTAAATAAGTACACATTCAAGGTACTTCATTCATTCGAGTATTTCCATTTCATGCAACTGTACACTTACCTCTGAAGCAAATATTGTACTTTTTACTCAACATTTGACATCTGACAGCTTCAGTTACTTTTCAGATAACAATTCTTCATACCCTTTCAAACCATGCATCTCCATGAATTCCTTTATGGGTTGAGAAAATTCTCCGTCTTCTTAAGCTCAATATACTATTTAAAAATGCAGTCACAAAGCTAAAAACAGGGCTGGTTTTTTTACAAGCTCATGAACAGTGGACTTTGTAGAGTTACGTGGTTCTCACAGGACAGCGATGTTAGAAACTTATGATGATCTTACTGAATATGATGCATTGCTGTAGATTAAACTACCAAACAGTATATAAAGTAGTTAAAATGAGCTCAGCCTTAAAACATCCACAGCAGTAAAATGAATCTAAAATCATCCTAACTAAAAGTAAAACACTGACAGGGATCATTTTAATGCAGAATCAATACTTTTGATATTTTAAGTCAATGTTGCTGATAATACTTACGTACATTTTGCTGAAGGTTTTGAACGCAGGGCTGTTACTTGGAGTATTTTCACAGTGCGGTGTTAGTACTTAAGTGTAGTACCTCTGATACTCACTAGTATAATAGTGTCTCGTCTCCCCCCTTGAAGCATTTGGAGATGTCGTGCTTATAGTCGGACTTACAAGTATTTACAAGAGAGGAAGGTTATTTAAATCCTCTAATCTAAGTAGACAATACAATTCATTCATGTTTCGTATCTGCACACCTTGAAGCTTCCAACCTTATTTTATTCACACGAATAACGGTTGATGGAAAGAAACACAACGAAGCCTGCACAGCAAAAGATTAAAACTCACCATTTTATTATGATAATGTTATTTGATATGTCAAATTACAAGTGTATGATGTAACATAAAAACAGTTACAAACATATGTATGCATATTTACATTATATATTTATGAAAAGTAACGAGCTACATCTGTATAAAGAAAATACAACTATGACATGAGTTATTGGGACTATAAATTTTACATCATATACTTGGTATTCTCGAACCATGATAAGAAATACCTAGACGTGTAGAAACCAATAGAACCAGAACGAGAGATGTTAAATTATAAAATGAGAAACTAGGATGGACGTGAGGCACTTTTTTGAGGTTGTCAGGATGTGAAAGCCGATGGCACTAAGAAACGTCGAGAAAAGAAGATGCAGAGGAAAGAAATATGCACAAAGAGAGAGTGAAAGAAAGAAAAAGGAAAGAAAACAGGCAGTGTTTACAGAATAGTTAAGAGTAGTACCATTTATACTGCAAGTTTCAAAACACAAATGTCTTCCACTATTTAGAACTAATCACATAAATGTTACATCAAGCGCTGTAAGATGAAAAAAAGCTTACATATAGTATCATCAGTGCACCAAAGCATCGGAGAATTGAAACATAACCACTCAACTGCTGTGAAAAGTAACCTTTTTAAAACAATACACTGAAGAGAAACAGGTTTATATAGCTTTTTTCTTTTTTAATCTACACAATGTCAAGAATGTACACTTGTATGCATTCCCAAAGATATGCACAATTTCCAAGATTGAAAGAGGATAAAAGACTAGCAGCAAAGTGGTTAAAACTGAAGTCTTATATAATGCAGGTCAAAAAAATATATATATTAAAGCAGACAGACACATGTTGCATATATAATACAGTACATGACAGGAAGTTGCACTGTGCTGGTTAATGCAGAATGAGAAGTGTTATTTCAGCATTCTCTACACTTTGTATAAATGCACATCCTACATTTTGCTTCTCAGCCAGCAAGTTTTAATCAGGTTCATCAAACCTTGGTTCAGCTTGCAATAATGCAGGGCAATCCAATTACAATGGGAGAATATGACAACCAACCAAACATTTGGTTACACACCAACCCCGCACGCACACACACACTCACACACACACACACACACACACACACACACACACACACACACACACACACACACACACACACAAACACACCGCCAGCATGCTGGAAACTAACACACATACAGTACACACACACACACACACACACACACACTTGTGGGCAACCCAAGAACGCACATATATAGTAACACTCGCGCACCCACACACATGCACAAGTGTCCACTTCATCACACAGAGCAATCAAACATTTAAAAACTCACCGTCACGGTTATATGCTGTTGGAGAATTAGGGTTTAACAGTCGTTCATAGCTGATTTTCTCTGTCAACACAATAAAATTAGTGATTGTATCTAGCAGCTTTATACGTATGTATGTATATATATATTTATATATCAAACTTTTGAAACAAGTGGACTGCCACTACTGTACCGTGTTAGCACTATCCTTCCTTCTACCGTACAAAACTAGAGAGAAACTCTATTAGAAGCTCAATAGTCATTTCCATCACAAACGCCCTCTACTTTTCAATGTGAAATAATACTAAAAGGTGACCTATGTACATAATGCTGTCAATTGAAGCTACAGTATATGCTGACAGCAACGATAAATACAGCTCTATCTTTAAAATTTCAAAGACAAAGAAAGCTTGGATTATTATCAGAACTTAAATATAGTGTTAACTATTTACACGTGTTTGGAGTTTGGTACCAGGGGTCGGTCTACTATCTATAATAGCGTTAAAGTGTCCTGTCCCGTCACTGACTCAGTCTGCAGAGAGGTCAATGTGTTTCCCACGTTAGAAAGTTTGCATAGAAAGTAAAGGGAGCATTGGTCGGGGGCGGAATTAGGAAAATAAATGAGACCGAGGTGTCACTACGTTGATTTTAACCAGGAGTGACTGGAGGTGAGAAGAGATGCATATCAGTTAGCAACAGCACATGGATGTTGTACCAAATCTGCCGTTACATGTTGAGGTGAATCACAATTAGAACTAATTTCCAACACGCCGATGCCTTTTAGATTAGGGTCATTTCAGTTATTGCAGCCAGACGTTCAAACTGAACTGTTATTACTGTTGGGAGTTTGAGTCTACAATGGTTCCATGAGCAACACATGCTCAATTTAAAATCTTCTACTGTTTTGAATGGGAAATGGGGTTCGAACGCAGCTAGACTCTGGCGTACCGTCTGCCTAGTCCCCGTTTCCCAAAGGATCTTAAAAAGGAGTTGTTTGACAATTCAGGAATTACACTTATTTGCTTTCCTGCTGAGAGGTAGAGAAGATTTATACCACTTTTATATCTATCCTTTAAATGTGAAGCTAGAGCCAGCAGCTGATTAGCTTAGCTTGGCATTAGGAAAGGAAACAACTAGCCTCGCTCCGTCATAAGGTAACAAAATCCACCTACCACCACCACTGCTAAAGCTCACTAATTAACACAGTATATGTCTTATTTGTTATAGCTGTACTGAAACCAACATGTAAAAATGCATTTTCATGTGTGGGACTATTTTTTTTTGGCCATGCACATTAATAGTTTTTGCATGGCAACCTCATGGTGACCAAGTCCAAAAAGTCACTGTGCCCATCCCAAGAAATAGTCCCACACATAACAATCATAACACATGTTAATAGGTGAACATTACAGGTGCAGGTAGGCAGATTTAGTTATCTGGAAAGAGCAAAAGAACAAAAAGATATGACAGTGGTAGCGATCTCCTCATCTAACTTCAGGAAAGAAAGCAGATATGTGAAAATCCCAAAATGTCGAACTATTCCAGTTTGATCGTTTTCTTTGTTCACTCTTGAGCCAACAGACAAAGATGCTTTGGGAAACAGGAAGCTGCTTTGTACTGTTACGAGTCAAAGCCTTAATCACATAGTCAGTGGTGACGTTACATGACATCAAATCAACAGTGCATGTTAAGACCTATGCACACGCGCGCACACACACGCACACAAACACACACACATACATATATACACATACATAACGTGTGTATATTTTATAATAGCTAAGATACTCAGCATTCCTGAAACAATGCATTCATCCATTCAGGGCCTGTTAAATGAAGACATACAGGAGTGGACTTTAACTTTTGATGAACGCAGCACTACATTTACACAGGATATGGGGGGGGGAACAAAAGAAAACCACTAAATCATGGGACAAACATGGAAATTTGGAGAGGGTGCTGCAACCAAAGCTTGGAGAGCAGTGCTTTCAGGAGGGGTTTTTCCCCCCAATGCTAAATTGGATGTTAAATTCTAAATTAAGTCTAAATTAAGTTTAAAATCTGAAGGATTCTCAATAAAAGAATAGCCTAATTTAAGTGCCTGTAACCCCTTTACTCACCAAAACAAAACTTGCTGGTTGAGCAACATTTCAGCCTTTGTTTCGAAAAAATAATTATAAAATGAGCAGGAAAATAACAATGAAGAAACAAAAACACCAAACAATTTCACTACAGCAGTAAATAACTGGACTAAAACTGAAATTCACTGAAGTGTATGAAATTGTCATGTATTGGTTTCAATTCAAAATGGTTCAATAGGTTCTAATGCTATTTTTATAATGTGGAAAAACTATTTTGGGGAATTCAGCATGGTAAAGTCATTACCATTTTCCCTTCTAATCATGGAATCGATCCCTTTATTTTGGAATGCAATCAAATGGTCTAAATCACCTCAGGAAAGTAATCATTTTAGCATCTTCTAACTGAATGTCAAAAGCTATACCAAGCTGTACCTTCAAATGCAATCTGTAACTTTTAGATTTTTCTTTTTTTGTCAACATTCGATGGAAAGGAAAACAAGGAATTGGCCATACATCCACCACAGCAACATCTCTCAAATGTTAAAATTACACTAAATATGGTGGTTAATGTACCACAAGAATTTGAGAGGGTTACCTTTACTCGTGGAATGGGGAGGGATACCATTTCTAGTGCACTTTTCTCTGTCTAGTAATTACATTGTCAGCAAATGCTTAAGCCATGAAGGAAAGGCCACTGTTACCCAACTGCAAATTCACAAAAAAGCAAGAACATATCCCTTTTAGCATACTCAAACAGCAAGTATTTTTTCTGAACGCAGAATAGTTTTGTTTTCTTTTTTTGTCATTAAGTTGACGCTCTCTGTACAAAAGACAATTTTCCTTCATAAAGTTACACTTGTAGTAGAGTTCTGACATTTGTGGCCTGGCTTTGTCAATGCATGAGTGTGAATGTGAGAGAGAGGTGTGTGTGTGTGTCTGTGTGTATAGGTATGTTTAGTAACATCTCCAAGTCTATTAATCTTGATGCCTCCTCCTCATCTCCGCAGATTAAGCTCCTGAACTTAGCTTGATGCTCAGAGCCCCCACAAAGCATATGGTTTGTCCTCCACTGCTGCTTGTCGGCGACAAACACAAACTGAAATCTCCAAAAGCCCTCAGAGCTGGGGATCAACAACATATCACCCCGTCTGAGAGGGAATGAAAAAAGGATGCCGGCTTTTTAATTTTCCGCTTTTATCCACTTCCTGTGTTAGCTAGCTTTGAGGGTGTCCCAGAGTCCGTCGTCAGGTCACCCCGCGGCCTTGTGCTTGCCCCCGCAGCAGCGGCAGGCCTCGCCACAGTGGTGGCAGGCGCGCAGAGGCAGGTAGCAGCACATGCAGGGCGCGATGAAGGAGAGCGCCACCAGGGCCAGCCAGCGCAGACAGAACTGCTCGTCAGATGTGTCACATGAGCAGGGGTCTGAGAAGTCGCCCTCGGAGTCGGACATGCAGTGGTAAAGCATGCTCTCGGCGCACAGCATGCAGCTGACTTTGTAGATGCACTGCTTGATTGGGTCGGGGGCGTCTTGGCACTGCCCCCGCCAGTTGTCTTCGTGGTTGAACATCTCCCGACAGTAGATGCAGCGCGAACGCTCGCCGTCCTCTCGCCGCCGCCGGCCCTTCTTAGACTTCAGCAGGGGCGAGGGCTGAGTCTTGATGGCTGTGTCCTTGCCCAGCCCTAGCCCCATACCTGTTCCAATGCCCATACCGGGGCCAGAGTGGGAGTCCCCACCGGGGCCATCAGGGAAGAGGTACTCGCACTTCTTACTGTCCAGTTTGTGGAATGCGGTGGGGAAGTCCAGGTCCTCGCGGTCGGCATCCTGTTTCCACATGACAGGGTGGCGGTAGTCCTCGTAGCCGCGGATGAGCACGTCTTTGCGTGGGTTGATGCGAACAATCTCCTCTTCGTCCATGTGAAAACTGACATGACGAGTCGACTTAAAGGAGACCTTCGGAAGAACAGAAACCGAGAATTAGTTGGATGACTCCACAAGAACACAATCCTTTGTTGCAGTGACTAAATATAAGAAACACGTCATTCATAGAATTTTATCTTGCACTTGAGACTCCACATTTACACACACACAACAATCCCATATTATTTGTGAGGAACGTGTAATTAACATTTTGGAGGTGTGATTGTTTGTTTGGCGGAGAGGCAGACCTGTGGAGGCAGGTAGCGGCGGTTGCTGGAGGGGAACTCGTCGAAGGGCTGGGCGCGGACGTAGCAGCCCCTGAATGGCTCGGTGGAGACGACGTTGTTCAGGGGAGAGAAGGGCTCTTTCATTGGGGTACAGATAGAGGGAGGCTCGTCGCATGCCTGGAAAAACACAGAAAACATTCAACTCAGTCAGGATAGTGTGACAGATAGTGTTTGGAAATGCACTTGAATGTTTCCTCTTAGCAGGATGCACATCAAAGAAACACAAAACATCTGTATTCTGACATGATCCTTCAATTCATTGGCTACTTCACTGACAAAAAATAATGAATTAAAGATTCACATTAGCACTTTTTCTGGACAGTCAAACATTTACAAATTATTTTAAAGTATCACTCATGATGTGCGATCATTATTATTTTATTTTGAAAAAGGATAAACAATGAAAATAAGTATTAATTGAAGCCCTTAACATCAATCATCATCACATTTTATGTCACCATTACACTGTCAAAACCGCTAATGATCGATCCATTCAGTTTTTCATGACCACAACTGTTTTGACTCAGGGTGTGTAGGCTGCATGTTCCACTTGTAACCACCAGGGGGCATCCTGCACCCACACTTGGCCAAATGACTGCTGTGTGGCGATGACTCAAGGCCCCTTCTGTTAAGAACTCAGAGTTCCCATCAGCCTTGCATGTGTTCCCACAAACATTTTAACTGATGCAAAATCTACAAACACAGGCTTAAAAAAAGAGGCACTTGAAACATGCGAAAATAAAGAGAGAAACATTCGAAACCGTGTGAGCATTCCTTCCACCTCACGCCAAACAATCTCATAATTACAAGAGGGAAGCTCACTGTTGACATCAATCAGAACGAGATGTCTATAAATAACGTCTTGTGAATGCCACGGTCTGCAACGCATTTTAAAATATAAACAGCAAAAAATGTTTCTACACATTGAGAAAATAAAATAAATAGTTATAGATCCAATAGAAGTAAGTCCAATACTTCAGTACTCATGGCAACAACATCAAAAGTGATGGCTATTCATGATTCATGCGTGCAGAGGTGATGAGAGATGGGGGAGGATAGTCAGTTATTACATCAAGAGGCTGTGTGATGATATTTCATGTCCAGCATTATTTTAGCACAACCATCTGTACAACTTCCAGCCCCTGCTCATGTACCAAAACGTGACATCACATGCAAATTACACGAGAATGAGCAGGATTAGGGGTCGGTTATATTCGAAAAACGTCAAATTCAAGTTGTACCTTCTCTCTCAATAAACTATTTATAGATAAACTGTCTGAAAATGATTCAAAGGAATTTGCTAAAAAAAATGTCTTCAAGGTTATATCTCTCTCCACTCAGACATACACAAACATGGACATGCGCCGAGGTGTCTTCACACGTACAAGTTGGATCCAACCAAATTCGAGCCTTGTGCACACTGGCTAGCTGTGCCTCTTTTCCCACACACACCCCGACCTCATCAAGGCAGGGTTAGTCCTCCTCTCTTGTCCTTCTCCCACCCTCTCTCTCTCTCTCTCTCTCTCTCTCTCTCTCTCTCTCTCTCTCCCTCTCTCTGCGTGTGGAGGAGGCTGCTGGCTCTGGTTAGTCAGTGCCGTGTGTAAAGTAGCCCACGCCAGTGCTTTAACGCACAGCGGAAATCTGGTTTGCTCCCAGCTGCTGCTACAGTAATTACTGTCCTGTGGTTGCTAAGAGATGCTTCCTTTGACTTCTTTTTTTCCCTCTCTTTCTTTTTTCCCTCTCTCCTCCACTGCCTCCCCCCCAGACTGCTAACACATGGTGTGTGTATGTGTGTGTGACTCCTTCTTTGCCTCCAAACATACCAAGTGGTGTAACGCACATCCAGAGCGTCTGCAGGGGAATGTGAGGAATAGGAGACAGTGGAGGGAGAGAAGAGAAAGAACAGAACAGGAAAAAATGACTTTGTGTTATTTGTGTGTGTGAGAGAGAGTGTGTGTGTGTGAGTGAGAGAGTGACAGAGAGAGAGGGAGAAAGAGAGCGAGAGGCCAAAGAGTCTGCCGAGGGAATGTCATAAACCAGCTCCAGCTGGAGAAATGCAGCACAGAACTTAAAAAGCCAGATGACAGCTGTGTGTGTATGTGAGAGGAAAGAAAGAAAGGAGTGAGGGGTGGGGTGGGGGGTGAAATGGGAAACAGACTTGGGCTTCCTTTTAAAGCGCTTGCCTAAGCCCCACCATTCAAAGGCATGCGTGGGGGCCAATCTGGAGCTGAGCTGACCCTAGAGATGTGGCTGGGTGAGGGAGGAAGAGAAGAGGAGGGGAGACGAGGGATGGAGGTGCTGGGAGCCAGGGGCAACCTGGCTCCACACCAACATAAGGGATCCATGCACTTCTGCCCTCAAAGGCACAAGGGCTCTTACAAGGGAAGGCTTGGGTCGGCACACATTCTGGAAATATAGAGAACACGCTGGGTCTCTGCGTGAGACAGAGAAAAAGAACAGAGAGGTAAAGATGATGCACATGTGCGGACGTTTGATCGCAAACACTGAATGGTTTATGTCTGTTTACACGTGTTTCTCACACTCTTGAACTAGGGATCGGCCTAAATGAGGCGAGTCATAAGTCGTGCTCATCTCTGTGTCTTGTTAACTTAAAAAGAAAGAAGCACAGCCAAGTTCCAGGCTACTCCCCATGTATTCCATAAACAAGTGGTTCGTCATTTTGGGAAAATGGCTTATTAGTTTTGTTGCCGGGAGTTAGATAAGAAGATCGATGGCACCCTCATGCCCGGAGGCTAAATATGAAGCTACAGCCAGCAGCTGGTTAGCTTATCTTAGCTTAACATAAAGACTAGAAAGAGATAGCCTCTGTCCTAAGGTAACAAAACCTGGCTACCAGCACCTCTAAAGCTCACTAATAAACACATTATATCTGATTTGTTTAACACGTACAAAACCCAATGTGTAAAAAAGCGTTTTTACACTTTGGCTTTTGTATCAATTAAAGCAGATTAATATTATGTGTTAATTAATGAGCTTTAAGAGGTACTGGTAGGTGGATTTTGTTACCTTAGGACAGAGCTGTTTCCAGTCTTTGTGCTATGCTAAGCTAACTGGCTGCAGCTTCACAACAGACAGACACATGTGAGTGTCATTAATCTTCACATCTAGCTAATAAACACACTTCCTAAAATGTAAAACCATTACTTCAAACTGCTTTTCTTCCTGGCTCTAAGTAGCTTTATTGAGGACTATTGAGATACACATGAGTGAGCCTGTGAGAGTCAACTGGCCAAAAACCTCTGTGTACTAAACTGATAAGAGAAAACTTCCTGCCAGAGCTAAATTAGATGCGGATGTTTTTCTGTGGCATTCGAAGAAGAAAAAAAAGACGCATTTGACTTTGTACTATCGGAAGGACTGTGGTGGTACAGCAAAATACCTGGCAGTGGGTCATCACAGCTGAGTAGAGTGTTGTGCAACCATGGTTTTTTTTTTATATGGGTAAAATATCTTTGTATGTACATATATAGAGTGTGTCTGTTACGTGTGTGTGTGTTTCTGAGTGAGAGGAAGAATGTGGTGAGCTTGTGAAAGGCATACAAGTGGGTGCTGAGCCTCAGTGGGTAGGATGTGGGTGGAGAGGACCGTCTTGAACATCGACCACACACACACACACACACACACACACACACACACACACACACACACAAACCAAGTTCAACGCTTGTAGCAATGCGAGGCTATCATGAATTCCAGCAAAGACAGAGAGATTTTTTTTATAGAGATGTCTGAATCTAATTAAGGAACTAAACAAGGCTTGATGGTGACCTCCCATGCTGATGAGACACTGCTCTGCTTTCTCAACAAGGTCAAGGGTACTCAGAACCCGTCTCGTGCTCCTAAAGGGACCCGTCAATAACACAAACTACAGGCTGGAACCTAGAATAGGTTATCTGTACATTATGATGCAGAATAAAACAGCACAGCTAATATCACACCTTGTTGTGTGGTGGTATTTGCTAGTTTCTCTGCAACACTTGCCACTGGTTCACTTCTCTTTCTCTGTAGCCCAGGTCTCCGACCGCAACATTCGGATGCCAAATCACCATGGTGACACCCTCGGTGGCTCACTCACTGAACCTTGTGAACACCCCCTTCTACCCCCCTCCCGCTGCACATCCCCCCCTCTCGTCCCCCACCCCCCCTGCTGCCTAGCAACAGTGGTGCCATTGGATTTCCTGTATGTTCAGGCTGATTCCTTAAAGAGGAACTTCGCCACAGGAACAGGAACGCAGCTCTCTCCCCTCCACTGCTCCTCTAGTTCACAGCATTACAGGATGTAAGATACTAGGCAGGTCAAAGGTGATGACACACCTCTGACAAGTGCAATTAACTGAAAGTCATGGGAGGTACAGTGTCATGTCAAAGATAAGAGCTGGTGGGGCATTTCTGATAATTAATAAACTAGAAACACCATGCAATGTAACACAATGGCCCTATTTATACTTGTTGAGGCTACTATTTTAGTTATGTGTGTGCTGACTCAATTCTTCAGTATGTTTTAAGGATGTGCCTTTGTGTACACCACAAACTACAGTGTAAAAAATGACCCGAGTGAAATCAACACCTCTCTGACACTGTGTCAACAGTAATTCATTATAAGTTTCACAAAGGTAGCACCTATTTCAGGACTGTTGTATGTACTGGATGGTTTCTGCATTTCTTGTCACTCTGTCTAAGTATGCATTACAAGAACTGCCCTTCCTCCCACAAAGGTGTCTTTTCACCTACTTTGCAATCAGAAGTAGAACAGGTGACTGACGTTCCTGTAACAGGCCTGATATCTAAAACAAATCAACATGGGTGTGTTGACTTGCACCATATACCTGCTGCCTTTCTCTGCTAAAGAGAACACGGCATTCTTAGCCACACATGTCAGCAGTCAATAGAGCCCCACATGCCAGGAATAGGGCAAATACATACAATTCTTAACATAACGCACCTTAACAGTTCTCAACCTGTCAACAAAAAGAGGCCCAGCTCGTGACGAAACACATTCAGTTTGGAGAACAGTGAAATCAGAGCGTTTTCACCAAGCTGCCTTTGAACAACCAGCTCCTGAGGCAATAGTTATTATATCGGCATCAATTGTAACAAGAGTGACGGCTACCAAGTTAGATTGATAGAGACAGCTAAGCCTGCTCTAGCACATTCGCTGGCCAACACCCAGCTTCACCTTGGGGTCTGGCTGGCACTAGTTAAACACCTGTAAATCTCCAAGAACAACTGTTAGAAAACAAAGGCAGGTGTCAGTGCCTGGGTGGGACACATCAGGGCTCAAACATATGGCTCAGGTTCTAGCTATGACCTGCCTCCTATTTAATAGCAAGGGGAAGCTGAGTGATACATCTAACCATAGAAAAGCCTACAGTAACAATCATTTCCCACTCTATGACACACTTCATTAAAAATTAATCATCATGTTTCATTTTTTGTGAACTCTCTAGTGCATTTTATAACAAGAATATGTTGTAAAAAATGCTAAAGCGTAAATAAATTTGAGAGAAAACTAAACTCCTTAAAGTCCAATAATTAAACATGTACTCATGTGTAGGCACACTACATACATTTTCTTCATACCAAAAACCAGAATCTCTCAGCTTTTTTTTTTTCTCCACTCACCGGTAGTCCATCCTCAGGAATATCCCCTTCCCCAAACTGCCGACAACCTGGAAAAGAAAGAACCCAGACAGGGAAAAGATTAGAGGCCAGACCTGTTTATTTTATACACTCAAGCCAATAATAAGCATATAAAGCTTACAACAATAAAGTACTAACAGCTTAGAATCTGTGTGTCGACATAGTCTATGGCATTAAAACCTCATCAGCAGTATTTCATTTCATTTTTGTACATTACTAAACCTGAATGGTAGCACATACACAAATTACACATATCATAATTTTTACTGTCTTGGGTATAAATAACAAGGGAACACTTGTTTGTGGAACTTTACCACTAGGGGCGAAAACTTATAAAAGGCCAGTGAAATCATGTACCAGACACTTCCACTTTCTTATACTATTTTGAAACCCTAGCTACATTTCTAAGAATGTGTAATGCATATCATATTTAACGCAGTAATTTCAGTCTAAATGCATGACATCTTGACTACAAAACATGTTTAAAGCAACAGATTTACATCGCTGATTCTTGTCAGGCCAGAATAGGACAAGACTTCTGCTTTCCTCTTGACTGTAGTCTAATGGGGAAATGAAAGCTGCTTTGTGTCAGTGGGGCACACAGAAGTTAATGAAATATGCATGTCTAGAATAATGTAACCCCGACCTCGGCTAAAACGCCATGTGCCATTTCCGCATCCAAAACACCCCGTCTGCTGATGCTGGAGTCAGAGCTTATGTTTCAGGTATCAGGCTGACCATGTTACAGCTTTTCATGACCACAGAGAATGAAACTGTGGACGGTGTAACCCGAGGAAAGACGCTAATGTTACTGATATTTTAAACACAAAGTGATATTTTGTTAAACCCCTTTCTACTTATGAAGCAGGGTGATATTGTCCACACTGAGAGCACCATTGTTTAATAGACAATATTGTCCAACAATGGGGCTGCCCCCAAAAAGTTTATGATTTGAATCATCAATCGAGAAGGGTGGGCTCGCATTTTGTCACAATATGGAGCAACAGCATAGCCAGTAAAATGCCCACAAACCACAGACCTTTGATGAAAGCAGAAAAGAGTGAAAGTTAACGGAGGGCAGCGTGACGCCGAGCAGCGGAACAGTGACTGCTCCGACGCTCTCTGCTCAGCCCTAACAGCCCGGCAGGAGAGACATACTGTGGTGCGCTCGGATTTTCTAATTGAACTATGAGCCGGACGCACACTTTACTTTCACTGACTGTGTGGAAATCTGATATTTTCATATCACAGATGACAAAGAAAGACATTAAAAACATGAGGTAGGCTAAAACTAAGACTCATGTAGAGGAACTGCTGATATGGGAGTTAAGTGTGGTGCTGAACTGAAAAAAAGAGAAATTAATAGTCTTCAGCCAAATCTGATTTGACTGACAAAACTTGGAGTCGGATACATCCATATCTAACATTTTTGTATTGTTGTCCTTTGTCAAGTTTAAGATTATTAAAACAGAACCCTGTTCATACGTGTCCACAATTTGAAATGACCACACTTCATTGTGGGAGTTCAATGTACACCATTTATGCGATAGTTAAGTTGCTGTGATTTGTTTCATGAAGTCCAACAACAAAAATGAAGAAAAATGTACATAATAAAAACTACGTTTATACATGCAAGATATTACCTACGCATGAATTAGTTTAGGTAGGTTTGGTTTTAGTTTAAGTAAAAACTTCCAGTTGCATGATTAAGATTCAAATATTTGCTATTTACTATAATTATCACTGACATTCAGACTAGTATTGTAATTTTACCCATCCTTAGTAAACACACAACACTAGTGGGTATAATGAAAGCAAACCTAGCACTTGATTTTCAAGCAGCAGCAGCCAGAATATTCATGATAAAAAGAAAACGCTGTTAAAGAAACTTAATAGAAGACAAAACGGTTGGGGCTACAGTCTTGGCAATGTTGCAGAAAACAAGGATTAAACCATTTCCATTGGGATGAAGGGTAAACTGTTTGTACCTGGGGCATCAAGAGGTTCCTTTTTAAAAACTTGGGTTCACTTAATTAGGATCACCTCTTTTGAAGCACTCAGGCATCAGCTAGTCTGTCTGCATTTAGGAAGGGAATACAGCAATACATGGCACAGAGAGGACAGAAGAATTCACTGGGCTTGTGTTAGACCCATTCAGTCTGTCTGTCTGAATCACATGGAGAAAGGTGTTTGTGTGTGTGTGTGTGTATGCGTGTATGCATTTCTCCACTACAGAGAGAAAGAGGCTTCCTGCAGCACGACTCTGGCAGAGCTGGGCCACGAAGCTGCCTGAGCCATGTGCCGGCCGTTGCCATGGCAACAGAGGACTGCAAGACTGATACACACACACACACACACACACACACACACACAGGCAAAACATATTCTCTCTCTCTCTCTCTCTTGCTGCCTCTTCTCTCCCCACACACATTCACGCAGCAGTCCAGCAGCAGAACGATGCAACAGGAATACAGAAGAACCTGCCTGCCTGAGCTGAAGAGAGGCATTACACAACACTGGCAGCACACAGAAGATGCCAGCAGAGAAAGGAGAGCAGAGGCAGAAGGGGATAGCAGGGGAAAGGAGAGAGAGGGAGAGAGAGCGAGAGGGGTGGCAGGCACTGGGGAGATGAAACTCACCATCACCTCCTGTAAGCTGACATTCATAGGAGAAGAGTTGAAGCGTTTACTAGCAGACAGAAACTGTATAGCCAATGGGTGAGGTGAGGGGGATGTGTTCAATCACTTTGGCCAGCTATCAGAGATGCTCAACCTTCTTCCCAAAGCTTCCTGTCATGTGAACTAGGGTTTCTGTTTATTAACTATTTATTATCGATTCACCTTAAGATTATTTAAGATGTCAAAGAAATTGTTAAAAACACAGAGCCCAGGAATACTTTCTTCATATTGCTTGGTGGCTGATAAACACTCCAAAATAATAAAAAAAATAGTTTGCTATCATTGAGGACTAAGAAAAACCAGCAAATATTCTTTGTTCACCATCTTCAACTAAAATTCACAGGCAGAGCGATTAGCAAAGCCAGGCCTAACAGTTGTTGCCTGTGATTACCTTTTATCTAGACTATGTGTGGACTTGTGCCCAGGAAGTGCAAATCTCAGATCAACGCTTGTGGGCAAGAAGCGACTGATGCCTAGCGGTGATAAGCCTTTTTACGATATGTTCTGCTGTACCTCCTCTATGCTCCCCAGGGTTCCCAGGTCTAGAGAGTAAAAGAGATTATAGCTCCCCAGCCAGCCAGCCAGCCAGCCAGCCAGCCTCTTGTGTAACATGGGGCTGGGTGGCAGATTGCTGAGCTGGCGATTCTCCTGCTAATTGGATGACTTTGCAACCTCTGGCACTGTACTGAAAAATAATGCTTATCAGGACCCAAAGCTGCTAACTAAACTCAGAGACTCCACCCAAGTGTAATATCTAGTTTAGCTTTAAAAAAACTGCATGATTGCCACACTGAGCACAGACAGACCTAACCCTACCTTTTTTTTTTAGACTGGACTAGCCAGTCCTCAAACTTACTTAGTAAGTCGGAGCAGCACAAAAGCCCAAACTGGTCAAGTTTCTTTCTCACCCCCATCTCAGGTTGCCACCCCTTCCACGTGTGTGATGTGCCACCTCCCCCTCTGTTTTTTTTTTTACCAACCCTTCCTCCAATGTCCTATATTACCCACTGTCTGGGCACAGCGTTGCCCTGCCAGTCTCTACAGGAAGTGGAGAGTTTATCTGGGCAGCTGGTGCTGATAAGATAACGCAAGAGGGTCATGCTTGGGTGAATGAGCAGGTAGAGGTGTGTGTGTGTGGGGGGGGGGGGTGGCAGCGGCGGTGGCGGTGGTGGTGGGGTAGACTCATCAGTGCTAATCAATGCTATGCATCTCTCCTAGAACAGATGCTAGGTCAGCCATTACAAAGCCTATGACAAACAGGCAGGAATACAGGCTGTAGACACCCGCTAACAGAATGCATGCCATGTTCATACACATACACCCATATTATTTTACACGTATTGGATGGCTGCCAGCACACATAGTAAGCGCAACCTCTTAGTGGAGATTCCAAATAAACTTGGTGTTTTGTTGATAGGGTACTCCATAAAGACACACATGCACACACCATTAACTACCAGCCAACACACACACCTTGGTTGATGTCCTCAATGGCCCGTCGTATGCCCCGGTCAAAGGCACGGGCGTCAGCAGGGCTCTGGAAAGTAAGTCCAAACTTCTTGTCGTTGATCCTCCAGTGGTGGAAGATGGGGTTGACCTTGTTGTATACTACGTCTTTCTGCAGGACACACTCCAGGACCACCTGACAATACACAAAACGCACACACAGTTAAATATGTCATAATAACAACATTGTAATTAGATTTGGTCAAGCGAAAGGTGTTAGCATACGGACTGGAAAGTGCATCATTTAAAAGGTTTAATGATAAAGCTCACTGGGGAACACGTGTAAATCCTTCATCTTACTCCTCACCCTAAGCTGTTTAAATGTGTCACATTCAATCATCCCACAGAAACGTGAGTAAGGGAATACAGAGAAAGAGGTTGGGAGTAAAGGCCTGCATCTGGAACTACACAACTCCAGGGATTCTAAAATAGAAAACGAGGGGGAAAAAATCATCTTAAGCCAAATAATTTCACATACTTCTTTGAATAATTTGTAAAACACATTCTAAATGGTGGGGTTTTCATTACAGATGATGATAAAGTTGGAGAGCAGTGGCGGTGGCAGAAGAAGGGGGGTTGAGTATGTTTTGGAGCCAGGCAGCCCAAGTGTGTGGCAGAGAGAGACTGTGTTTTCAAAGCCTATTATTAATCAGGGCTACTGGGCCGCCTCCCGGCCTTCCTCTAGGCAGATTAAATGAAATGAGAGACGGCCATTACAGTCTTTGAGGTTTTTTTACCGACGTGCACGAGAGGTGGCTTAATGGGGTGTGAATGTGTGAGTGTGCGCATGGCGATCTGCGTGAGAGAATGCGTGAGCGCAGGAGCTGGTGTGATGAAAAGCTCAATGACCCAAGTGGTACACTGTGCATCTTCGCAGTGCAAATGCCCCGTCGGAGGATAATGGTCACAAACCAATACTCGACAACTGAAAGCAGATGGCAGGGTTCCCCGTCGATCTGGACAACAGTCAACATGCACACTTTAAGAGGCTGATGCGTGGCAGCTGTGCGAGAGGTTGATGATATGTGATATGTGTGTCAGCGAGGGTGCACACAGGTCTACATTTCATTCTGAATGTCTGAGTGAGAGCTGCCTTTTTACACTTGGTTTGCAACATTTACATTTTACTGCATGCAGAAAGATGTGTCTCGCATTATCTGTCCTCATGTCAATACTGCACACATGCCTCCCAAAGAAAAGAAGGGGCAAAGGTTAAGCCTGTGTGTTTACCCAGAGCCAGTGGATGAGAGGGACGGATGTGAGGAGGATGGGGTGGCAAGAAGGGCTGGGGTGGGGTTGTGGGGAGGGGGGTCCACTGTGCCTCTAGGGCTGATTGTGGAGGCGAGACTGAATGGAGCCGGAGCAGGTAAGGTGAGCGCACAGCGTGGCCGACAGAGGAGGAAGTATCACAGTTGCATGGAAGGACGATACTTAACACCACATTCCACACTGTGCTCAAAGAAAAGAGAGGAGGAGGAGCAACCCTGACAGAAAAAAAAAAGATAGAAACGGAATACAGGCTGGAGTTGAGGACTGACACAGAGACAGACGGAGGTGAGACAAACAGAGTAGAGATAGCGTGAGAGCGGAAATGGGGGAAGGTAGAGACTACGTTTACATGCTCAACTCAGGCTACAATATATAGAACGCTGCCTTAATTCAACCTGATTATCATTTAAAGACATTTCAATAACAATGTTTGGAATAAAGTAGTGTTTATTTTGAGCATATAAAAGTAATCTGCTGTGAATTGGTGTATGAATGAAAGACTGTATGCAATAATATTAAAGCACTGAGATTTGAAGACTTGGTAGGAGGCATTGGTTGCAACTGATACAGATTTCTCCCCTTTCCCAAGACCTACATTTAATAAACCATATTTTGCTAGCAAAGATAAGTCAAAACAATCACATGACAAGATTAACAGCAAAAACAACATCTGTATCTAAAGGGCGCTTTGCTCCAAGGCAAAGCCTTTTAGAGTTAAGCCTGGACTACACCACAGTCACAGCTGCATCAATCAATGGGAGTCACAGACTACGAACGACAGGAAGTGAGGTGAGAGCTAAACCAAAGATTTGTCATAATCCAAGAGCCGGTACGGTAAGTAATCATCAACCAATTAGATCTGTAGTTTTTAAGAGAGTCAGAGAATTAGAGTGAAGGAGAGACAGAGAGAGAGAGTGTGAGAGAGCAAGAGAGAGAGCGAGAGAGAGAGAGAGAAGGGAGGGGGGGCAAGAAGAAGAGTGATTGGTAGCTATATGGAGAGCCAGCTGAGTCATCACCAGTACACTCTGTGCCGCATCACTGCGCTTATAGACAGATCCCCTCCACCTCTTCAGTCTCCCGTCTATCTGGCTCCACCTCTGTTTCCTGCTCTTTGACTACACACATCTCTTTCCCTGATTCATCTCATATCTTATGCACCCCCAATCACCTCGTTTCTACCAGCCAAAATCGTGCCTTTGTGATTTCAAAATAACTGCATCTCTGCTCTGTTTTTTTTGTTGTTGTTCTCTCTCTACCTAGCTCAGGTTCCTATCAGGGATGGAGACTGTCATTGTGCTTTCCTATTCCGTCAATTTCTGGCTAAATTAAAACACTGAAATGATATCCTTTAAGACGACAAAGAAATGCATCTAAAACATGGAACAGCATTTCCCTTTTTCTGTGTTTTAGACATAACAAATCAAACCAAACAGCCTTTCAAACATTTGGAAGCTCTTCCCTATTTTTGTTTTCAACATCACTCATACAACATAATTATGGTCTTTCATTTACCTCCGAAATCAAAACACTGACGTTACTGTTTTAGACAACACTGTGGTAACAAGTACTGATAGTTCTTTTTCACTGTCTACCATATTCTCATGTGGTTTTGTCTGTTGCTGTTGTTTTCATGGACTCATCACTCTGCCTCTTCTCTTCTGATGGCCTCAGACTGTCGGTAGCGCTGCGGTTGACGCCAACAGCATGGCACTGGGTGGCATCCCGACAGACCTACATATGGCTTGGTGTTTGTTGTGGTGGCTGGGGGTAGACTCTGGCGGTGATAGGGGTGTTTTACCACATCCCAGAGGAGTTGCCAGGGTATCTGAACCATGTCTATGCCCTGTCTGAACAACAGCATTCCCGCCACACCCTTTCCTGTGCCACACACACGCTTGGATAGCAACGCACAAAACACAAACATGCCGTAAACACAGAACACACATAAAATGTGTTCAGTCAAAGAAGATTAAAAAAGGTGATTTAGACACTCTGCTGTAACAGGCCTCTAATGTCGGAATGTCAGAAGACACCAGACTCTGCATCATGGTGGCCTCCACGCTCTCCTGACATCTGATAGACAGTTCTTTCTCTCTTTCTCTCTCTCTCTCTCTCTCTCGCACACAGATTTACACTCTCATTACAACAGACCAGGATTATCCCAGTGCATCTACTGGATCTGTTTTACATCTACAACATAGAATGAGTCTGTGACAAGAAGGTCATGAGCTTTAAAGCAACTACAGCAAAAGCCATATTAAGTGTAGATATAACTATTAGTGCAGAAACAGAAACAAACTGAATCACCTCACACTTTGTTGTACATAGTAGGGCTGCAAAATTAATCTAATATTAACAGCGATCACAATTTTCGCTTCCCACAATTAAATGAAGGTGATCGTCTACAATATTGACAGTTACACTGGGTGCTCAAACCACAGAAAACCTTGCTGCATATCAAATGAAGCCCTTCCTAAACTCACAGCTAGCCACCAGGGGTGATCGTTATGGTTTCGCTTTTGGAGAGGTGTCATGTTGCTGCACACACAAAATGCAGTTAGTCTGGATACTTTTATTCCCACAAAAAATGCAGTATGAAGTTACTGTTTACAAAAACTGAACATTTTCTACTGCTGCCGCTCACATTAAAAGCATTTAACTGCCAAAACACGTGTAGCTAGTTATAGTCCAAAGCGTTAAAAGTTACTTGGCAGTGCTCTGTAATCGTAAAATAATCGGGATCTCAATATTGATAAAAAAGGATTAGAGATTGTAGCAATACGCTGTATAATCACATAGCAAAGAGTTAGAGAGGAAACCTATAATGCATTTAGAGTACAGTAACGCTTAGTGTGTAGACTGCCGTAATGGCAGCTATTTTGATAATGAATAATTTGTTCGACTCATATTTCAAGCAAAATTCCCAAACATTTGCTGGTTCCAGCCTCTTAAATGTGAGAATTTGTTGCTGTTGTTTGTCTTATATTATAATGAAGTGAATATCATTGGGTTTTTTTCATCTGTTGGTCAGCAAAACAAGCAACTAGGGGTTGTAATGGTATACCCATACCATGGTATGTTATGCAAATTGACTTGAAATTGAATTGAATTGTTATCATACTATATATATTTGCACATGCATCTACAGAATTGATTTCTACCATATTAGTGTTATTAAAATACCAAATTTAATTCTACCATATTAGTGGTACATAATATATACTAATAATATAAAAACATATTTCAAGCTTATATCAAGTTTCATGTCTGTCAAGACATAGTATTTTGTGAAATTATAGTAAAGCATTTGTTCAACCAAAAACCCTTCTGTTTTCATTCCTTTAAGGGAGAGGGCATCTTACGCTTTAGCAATTAGGATTTTTTCCAGGCTGTATTTACCGACACGTACAATCTTTATATTGCAAATCAAAAGAGCGGAAATGCTTATAAAAAGGTGGGCAAACACCTGGTATTCCTGGAACCCCACAGTGAGGGTGAATTTCCAGCCCCTATTCCATCATTTAGGTTGCTTCCAAGCCCTTTGTGTGTTTCCCACATCCCTCATCCCACATTCTTTTCTCTTTTCTTTTGAGTCTCCCTGATGATATCATCATGCATCACAGCATCACGCAGTTCGCTCCTATTTTCAGATACCTGCGCCATGGAGGAAAGCCAAATAACCACTTCCTGTGTGTGTGTGTGTATGAGTGTGTGAGTAAGACAGAGATAGGGGAGTCTGGGAATGAGGGACTCAGGGTGATCTCATCCAAGAGAATGCACCATCTCTGGTTTGTGCACTTGAATGTGCATGAAAGAGAAGGAATGACTAAATAACAAGGAAAGAAAACGCATCAACTTGCTAATTGCATGTATAGTATTAATATGAATCCATGCAGCGTAGCTAGTGGTTCCCTTACCAGTTTGTCTTTGAGCCTCTCGCCCTTGATGTGGAACTCCACAGCAGTGGGGCTAGGACTAGGGCTGGGGCTGGGACTAGGACTGGAGCTACAGGGACTGAGGTTGCTGCTGCTTCCTCCGCTGCCTCCACTGTGGGTGCTGTTGCTGTCCTCCGCCCGGCTGACCTTATAGACGGTGACACAGCTAAGGCCTCCGCCCCCCAGGGGAAGCCACCCACCGCTGGAGTCATCCCGAGTCATGACCACTGCTCTCACACGCGCATAACTGTCACTGTAGAAGAGGAAGGGAGGTGAGGGAAGGGTTGAAGGAATAATAAGAGAGGGGAACAGCAAAAAGAAAACAATGCTTTTAGTGAACATAATCTGTAGTAATCAGCATTTAAAATTTTCTATCAGGTCCTTTCATTGAGGGTGTTTTCTGATGACCTTTTACATTACAAAAGTAGACAGCCTACACGAAACATCAGCCCACATAATACAGTTAAACCGCAGCATAAACAAACGCAGCACAGTACATGTAGCCTACACAAAACGGTTAGTGAATGCGTAGTCAGGAACACATTATACAGACATACAGAGAACATCAAGCGAGGATACGGCACTAAAATGCCTATGTGTCAATGTGACATGCCACATCCCACTAGAACTAGTCTGATGTTGAGATGAAATAAAACAAATGAAACCATGGGGAAATCTGGGAGGTGGCACTAGTAATAAGCTAGCCTTAAAATCTCCAACAAAACAAAAAAAATAAACGTGAAGGAGCAAAGTCAAGGATTCGACTCTGGATTAAATGTATATTAGGTTTTACTGCATGATATAACAGGCTACTGGCTATGATTTCTAAAGTCTGAAGCCGTCAGTGTATGTTTAACCCCAGCCAGAGGGTGACTGACCATGTGGCCAAGTTCAGGCTCTCGCCAATGCTGATTTCAAACCTTTCCCCTAAAGCAGGTGATTTCAAGCTACACGACACATGACAGGGGCACCTTTCTTATTTCCGATTGTACTTTTATTACGTTTCTCACTCATCTTTCTCAGGCCTCCTACTAGGGCTTTGACCCGTGGCATTATACATTGGAAGACGGTTATCTAAAAGACATTGCATTATATGTGTAACTGAAGGAAAAGTTACTAATAACAAAGCAGGAACGAAAGGTAGGTGATATTATTTACTGTTTAATGAAAGACTATATGTATCAGTGGTTTATTGACAGCTGACGTGAGGCAGTGTATACAAAAATGCATAAATCTTCAGTTTTTTTCTTTCAGATATACTGTAACATAAACACATATGTCACAATTCAAATGTCAAACAGCCACAAAGTGGAAAAAGGCTGAACTGCCATCCAGTGTAATAATCCACATCCTTAAGTCTGTAGAAAAGAAAAGAAACACCTCTACCACAATGGCTCAACTTAATGTATCGCTACATTGGTCCCAGTATATGAGTAGACTGTATCACACCATACTCTGATACTGACTATTAATTATACATCATAATTCTATGTCTATTTGCCCCTCGTTTCATTTTTCTTTCCCTCCCCACCTCCTCTGCTTCTGTCCCTTCACTTGGAGTCAGATGTTTCCCTGATTAGATAACACAGACTGCATTGGGCCACCAGAAATGACAAAGGTCAGGGTGTGCTGAGGGCAGCATTTTGCAGAAACTCCTGGTGATATATTAAAGACTGGGGAAGATCTGAGAGCTGATAGAAACGGGCAAAGAGAGTAAAGAATGTGCCTGCCGGATGTCTTCCTGTGACACATTGCTCTCTGGCCGACGTCCGGGTAGACTGGTGAGGATGACGTCACAGGGTCACAAGAGTTTTGCAAAGAATCCTTTCTCTAATAGATGCCAAATATGAAACTGTGATTATGGGAGAGAAATGTCAGTGAATGACAACATGTAAACTAGTAGCTCCTGCTCTAAGAAGAATGGCTGTGTCCTCCCCCTTACTGCCTCTCTTCTCTAAATCTTGGTCTACTCAATAAGGCTAACCTTTGGCCTCCTGCCTTCCACACCCTTGGCAAACCTCAGTGCCCAGGTTATTGGTTAGTAATTAATCTTAAAAGAGCCAGTGAGCTTTAAATCTGAAGCTTCCTTTTTTTTCTTCATGTGAAGGCTTTGATTTCCTGGCACCTGGTAATAGTTGACCAAAGTTCCCTCAAAGGATTGATGAGCATGATAAATACGGGCTAACTCAAAAATAAACCAACCAACCAAACAGATTGCATTTTTGAAAACCACACACTTAATTCTGGCCAATTCTGGTCTTTTTAGACACATAAACACAATATTCTTTGCCAGAATCAAGACGAATATGCTATTCCAACATCTCCTCTCACCAGCAACCAACTTAAACCTATTTAAGGGTTTCTTTAAAGCAAACTATAAACAATATTTTCAAAAAAAAAAAAAAAAGATCATCAAATTGTATCATATTACAATGTGAAAACAGTATGACATTGTGAAAGGGGTCGCTCGTAGCTATTAATCTAGAATCTGCAGCTCTCCTCGGCTTTATAAGTTTCAGCTCATTGTTTTGCTGTACCTGTTTTGGTTCATTCTCAGCGCTCTCATAGGATTGTTTTCAGTGAAAAAGCTCTAAAAACCCAATCTACATTACCTGCCCAGCACCAAACCGCAGATAGACACAGTTAGCGACTAGATGGTAAACATAGTGGAGCATTTAGCAGCAAAGAAGTCATATATTTCTCACAGGAGTTGGTAGAGACCAAAAACACAGCAAAAGAGACAGAATATTGAAATTACATTCATTAGGTAGACAGAGACACAACTGCAAATTAATGCTAATGTTGCTCCATAACTGCTGGATGTGTAAATAAACTGCTTGCCATATCAAATTAAAAGGTGGTGATATGTCAATGTTGTGTAAATAACGTTTCCACTGCCCCCAAGCAGCCAAAAGCGTTTTACATCATGCTGTTTAGTTACTTCTGCCACTATTACTGCTTCAAATCCAAGCAAGGAGATTTGGCATGCTGCTGTCATTAGAGAAAGATGTTCGTAAAATGATGGATCGATCTAAACTTATTGAAATTATTTTTCCACATTTTCAATGCACACACAGGGCTTATAGACATGCAAATGTAGAGGCATGGTGGAGTGATGGGCTGCCACATAGCAGCACATAGCGGGAGCAGTTAGGGGTGAGGTGCCTCGCTCAAGAGTACCTCGGCAGTGCCCGGGCAGCTACACAAGTCCACACTCCATACTGTGATCTGTGCTGGACTTGAACCGGCAACCCTCTGGTTCTCGAGCCATGTCCCTACAGACTGACCGACTGCAGCCCCAAATAAGTCCTCGCAAATCAATACGTCCGACCGATCTTCCGTCAGACTGAATGGCTAATAAATCCTTAAATTATTCAAAATTTAGGAGACACACACCACAGCCTGTTTACAGTCAGCAAGCTTCATCAGTCATGGTTCAAACAAAAGTGGACAATACTGGAAGTCTTTTAGTTGTCGTTATTATAATCATAATTCCAAGAACATTTTCAAATATTATGTTAGGATTTTTCTGCCACTTAATGAGGGAACTGATGCAAAAATAAGCAACTATTTTGCCAATCAAATAAGTAGGAGCAAATAATAATGGACTGTAGGGCTGGACAATAACAAATACAGAATTTATTGAATTACCAACATTATCTCTTGTCAACTTAAATACACTCACATCACAATTCTCTGTTTTTCTCTCACATGCTTGAGCTTTAACAGTAACTGGCTGTGGGAGACTGACACACAACCACAACTAACTTCCCCCTTGCAACCTCCAAGCAACACCCTTTCTGTTTATACCTAATAACAGCGCCACAGAAGTAGTTCTAAGACCTACATGAGAACCCTTGCCACAGCAGAAAAATGCATTTTTGAACAGTACAACAGGCAGTAAAAGAGGGAAATACTGCTGCTGTTACACCCCTCTATGGCCCCCAATAAAGGATGCGAGTGATGGGTGCAGGAGGGGCTGTCAATCAGGCAGGGGTCCCTGGGGTGAACAGAAGGCAGGCGGTGGTGTCGCTCAGCCATGACCAGGGCACAATGACCACGGCCTGACCCTTCAGACCTACCATCACACACATGCCAGCAACCATGACACTCACAGGGAGGGGGGCCGGGCCCAGAGAGGAAGTTAAGTGGACTGTGTATACGCGCATTTTTGCATCTAGCTTAAAACACAAATGTCAACATTGTTTTAAGAGTAAGATCCTCCCTGTAGATAAATAGTCAATAATTAAAATCAAATCTCTGAAGTACACTTCGGAAACCTGCAGACCAACAACTAAAACTCAACCGACAACAAACTAGTGTACTAGATCCATTTAACAAAATCTTTGAAACAGGGGAATAAATAAATAAATAAATGTATCTGCTTTTACTTTTCTTTCTCATGGTAAAACCAGTAAGTGGTCTTAAAAGATGTGCAAGAGAGTGCAACCTGCTGCAACACACACACACACACACACACACACACACACACAGTTCAAAGTGGGATAGTGGAGACAAAGGCTGGCCTCCACGCCCCTTGCTGGGAGCACACAGTCGACTGGACACACAATTGAGAGCGGAAGCAGATCAGCTGGCCTGGGCCTGCGAGCCGGGGAGGGGGAGGAGGGGGTGGGAGAGACAGAGAGAGAGAGAGAGAAAGGAGCCCCCCATTCCGAATTATTCCAAGTTATTCTGCTGGATGACTGACTTCATTTCCGACCAAAAGCAGGAGAGAAAAACAGAGGGAGGGGTGAGAGTGTAACGGAGGACTGTGGGGGTAGGAGGAGGAGGAGGTGGTGACTGGATGGGAACAGGGTGGAGACCAAGGTGACAGTCAACAGCTCCCAACCCCGTTTAAATATGGCCTTTTCAATTCATAAAAAGGATGGGCATAGGGCTTCATGGCATCTTTACAATATGACATATGTAATAAGGAAATCAAGAGTATCTTACTATTTCAAACCTTGTTTAAAGTGAGAGCAAAGAGCAAACAAAACAGCATGACTTAAGAGAAAGAAGAGAAGAGAAGAGAAGAGAAAGCATGATGGGGGAGCACGTGCAGACCAGGCAGGCCAGGGCCTCGAGGCCGGTTGCAGTGTATGGCGGAGAAGGGGGATCCTGGGACAACCATTTCCTAAGTTGACAAAGTGGCCGTTTGTCTGCTGCTCCGGCCCATAGCTCACTGGGCTCCAGCATGCCATCATGCTTTGCTCCTGTCTCAGCCTTGGGCTTCCCACCCCAGAGGGGAGTGGT